ACAAGCTGAACAAATTTCTCCATTTTTTCCTTTGGCCTTGGCAGATAGATCCAGGAGGTTGAGGGAAAGTAAAGGGCTTCAAGAACAAAAAGAAAATCCCCATGCCACCAGCAACTCCATTTTTATCATTTTATTGGAAGGAACATGCCAATGACCAGCAGCACATCCAGGTTTATGAAAACGGGGCTTCACAGCCAAATGTCAGTTCACAGTTATGGATGAAGGCCTATCATCTACTGAAAACTTGAAAGGATTTATTGAGATAGTAATTCCATGACTAATTGAATGCTGGATTGAAGCTGTGCCTCTGCAGCCAGCTGCCTCTGTTGGAAATGGTATAGAATGAGAGCCTCTACAAGTTATGCAGCAAGTCCTTAATATTATTTCCCTTTTGTGGAAACTGTCTAAAGAACATGATGAAACTCATAAATTGGAATCATGGCTTCGAAAGAATTGCCTTATTTGGGGTGCCAGATTCTGTCCTGGTTGCTCCTCTTCCAGTCCAACTCTCTGCTGTGGCCTGGGAAGGCAGTGGAGGATGGCCCAATTGCTTGGGCCCTGCACCCCATGGGAGACCAGGAGAAGCACCTGGCTCCTGGCTTCAGATCAGCACGGTGCGCCGGCTGCAGCGCGCAGGCCGCAGCGGCTATTGGAGGGTGAACCAACGGCAAAAGGAAGACTTTTTGTCTCCTGTCTCTCTCTCTCACTGTCCACTCTGCCTGTCAAAAGAGAAAAAAAAAAGAAGGAAAGAAAAGCATCAAGCATTGCACGATTTTCTCCAATAACATAGATCATCTCTTACTGAATTTAACACTGTCTGATATCATGGTCTCCTTGGCAAACGCCTCAACTTTGCAGAAAGGTTCCAGTTGGATAGAAATGATCAGAAGGCCGGCGCCGTGGCTCACTAGGCTAATCCTCCGCCTTGCGGCGCCGGCACACCAGGTTCTAATCCCGGTTGGGGCGCCGGATTCTGTCCCGGTTGCCCCTCTTCCAGGCCAGCTCTCTGCTGTGGCCAGGGAGTACAGTGGAGGATGGCCCAAGTACTTGGGCCCTGCACCCCATGGGAGACCAGGAGAAGTACCTGGCTCCTGCCATCGGATCAGCACGGTGTGCCGGCCGCGGCGGCCATTGGAGGGTGAACCAACGGCAAAGGAAGACCTTTCTCACTGTCTCTCTCTCTCTCACTGTCCACTCTGCCTGTCAAAAAAAAAATATATATATATATATATGATCAGAAGATTTGTGACAGAGACCCCTGAAGATGACTCTAGGCTGAATAGTAAGCAACTGAACAGATTGCTTGGAGTGTCGTGGAGGTTAGTGTAGATACAACACAGCAGAGAGGCTACTGAGACTCTGATTAAGGCAGTGTATATCTTTTATCAGCAGAGGGGCCTTATCCTTCCAGTTCAAACTTCGTTGCTGGTTTTTCAGTAAAATCTATCAGAAGGAAGAACTACGGTCTTACAGATTCAGATAAAGTGTTTTCACGTTGGCTGGCTGGTTTACCATTGCAACTTGCTCATCTTGGCTCCCGAAACCCTAAGGTGGTTTTTTTTTTGTTTTGTTTTGTTTTTGTTTTTGTTTTGACAGGCAGAGTTAGAGAGAGATAGAGAGAGAGAAATGTCTTCCTTTTTCCATTGGTTCACCCCCCAAATGGCCGCTACTGCCAGCATGCTACGGCTGGCACGCTGTGCCGATCCGAAGCCAGGAGCCAGGTGCTTCCTCCTGGTCTCCCATGCAGAAACCCTGAGCTTTCTACACAGCTTATAGATATCATTCATACTGCTGCAGCAGGAGAAAATAAAGAATTTCTAAAAAGTTTACAAGCTACTGTGATCCATAGGAAGGCACTGTGGTGGTTCTCCCTGCAGAGCCTCAGCAACATTTGGTTCAGCTTGTACATTTTCCACCCAGTCTGCCTGCTGATCTGCTTTCTCAGTTCAAGCTTGGTTGCTATGCTTATCGGGATACTGCACATGAGATCATCATTTTCTGGATGGAAGTTAATGACTGGTTGATCAATGGTGTGAACAATGTCAGCTTCTTCTTTTCCACACTTGCAGGATTTTTGAAAGAGGAGTTGAGTTGGCTTCAGGGCCTGGAGGAGTTCCTCATGTCACCCAGACCCAGCTTTCCCCTGTGCTGCTCTACCTTATGGATTTGGGTCAATTTTTATACCACTGGGATGTGACAGAGGCAGTTTGTCACAGCTTATTGGTTATCCCTGTCCCAGGTCAGAGCTTTGACATCCTGCAAAGTGCCAGTAAGCTAGGCACTAGGTTGGTTTGACTGTAATTCCTGACAGCGTGGCCGACTGTGTTTCTGGTGTTATCTGTAGGCTCCTGGAGCATACTTGTGTAGAGTGAGACTCTACTGCCATTTCTGGCTTCTTGTTGCTACAGTCTTCTCTAGAGAAAGGGGAAGCAGAGCATCTAAGGAAGAGGGACAAGCTCTGGGGGCCCGCGTCTCTGCCTTGGCTCTTCTCCTCGAGTCCTCAGGTTGATGCAGAGCCTGTGGGTGAACAGGGTTGGGGCTGAGGAGCTGCCTGTGGTGGGCCAGCTGCTCCACCTGCCGCTTCAGCACGCTCCCCTCAGACCCACGTGTTGACCAATGCTATCTTGGTGCAGCAGATCATCAAGAATATCCCAGCCTTGAAGAGTAGCAGTGTGCAGGAGCCATGTACGTCAGCGACTTACGTTATTGCTTCCATGTGTACATCATGGGGCAATACCCACGGGCCCCGCGCCTTGAATGCAGGGTACTGAAGAGGAGCTGTGGTACCTCCTGTGGGAAATTGGGTACTCACATCTAACTTATTTTGAGGAGAGGCTGATGTAATAGATGTTTGTCATTAAAGCTGAACTTTAAAGAAAAAAAAAATAAAAAGAGGAATTTAGACCCAGAGAGGGCACCCACAGAAGGAAGATGTGAAGAGACCCAGTTAGAAGACAGCCATCTTCAAGGAAAGCAGAGAGGCCTGGAAGAGACCTTTTCTTCCAAATCCTTAGAGGGATCCAAGACTGCCAACACCTTGATCCTGAACTTCAAGCCTCTGGACCCACCACACAATGCATTTCTGTTCCTCACACCCAGTCTGTGGGAAGCTGCTTCAGCAGCTGGAGCAGACTAGTACACAGTGGAACAAGGGAAGGAGTCTCTCTCGTGACCATCAGCACTAAGTGGGAAAGAGAACAGTCAGGCCCTCTTATCACCTTCTCCGCTGATGCTGTCACTAACAGAGAATGGCTAGGTCTGTGCAAGCAGCTCACTCCTGAGGAGCGTTAGTCCATAGCAGTGTCCGCTGTAGCAGTGTTCTGCATACAGGCATGTGCAGTACTTCTTGCTGTTTGTTTTGCATTGAAAACAGTCTCAAAGTTGAGTACAAAGAGCACTCTGCAGGTGTTGCAAATGTTAGCCATTTGTAACAGTATACTCCAGGGTCCTTAGGGCTATCACTCAACTGTGGAGTAATTGATATATCAGAGTATACCAGACAGGTTCTGGATCAGCCTTTGAAGTAAATACTACATTTTCACACAGCTTGGTTACTTGCTGTGCCAGCTTCCTACAGCAGCTGTAATACCTTATCACAAGTCAAGTGCTTACAGTTGTGGAGGGCGAATCTGTAAGAGCTCTCATGGGGTTAAAATGACAGCGTCAACAGAGCTACTTTCTCCTGGGAGCTCTAGGGGGCAATGTGGGTCCCTTTTCCAGCTTCTTGAGGCCACCTGCATTCCCTGGTTCCTGGCCCCTTCCTCCATCTTCAAATCCCTCTGTGACTCTGGCCTCCTCTCTTGCTCCCCCTTCCACTTGAAAGGACACTTGGGATTACATTGGGCCCTCTTGGCTAACCCAAGATCAACCCCCTATTTTTTTTTTTTTTTAATTTACTTACAGGAGGTAGGTCTTGCATCTGCTGGTTCTCTCCTCAAATGCCCGGAACTGTTGGAATCCAGGTTTCCCATGGTGGCATAGACCCAAGTACTTGGGCCATCATCTGCTGCCTCCCAGCGTCTACACTAGCAGTGAGCTGGAATTGGAAATATGGGAGGCAGGAGTCCTACATGGCCACTTAGTAGATGCTGGCCCCAGCTCCCTATTTAAAAGTCAGACAATTACCAACCTTACTTCCATCTGCAATCTAATTCCCTTTTGCCATACAGAAGAACCAATGCACAGGTTGCAGGCAGTTGAAGGGAGAAGTTTGGGAGGGCGGTGGGATAGAGGGGAGAGTATTATTTGGCTTTCCACACTTGCCCAGGGTCACAGAACTGGTTAAGTGCTAGCACTGAGTACTGTGTCCATTAAACAGCTATATGGACTGCTCGCTCAGACTCGACACAGGGCGCATTGTACCGGTAGACGTTTTCCTTCGATATGATTACCATTGTTTCAGAGCAACGTGTAGCCACAGCTTTAAAACGTGCCAGGCCCGGCTACTCCGAGGACAGCGCCTCCCGCCAGACTCAGGCGACTTCCTTGACCGACAACCCGAGAGACGACCAGCCGGCCCGCCCAGCGGAAGCGCGCCAGTCGCAGGCGCTTGGAGCTGGCGCGGGTCGCCAGGGAAGCGGGTGAGCGAGTGAGGCGTCTTCGCCCCGGGGCGCGGTGTCTGTGGGAAGGAGCGCAGCGGGCGGCCGGAGGGCCGGGAGTGCCTCGGCGTGGGACCTGGAGGACAGGGCGGCGCCCACGCCGGGTGAGGGAGAGCGGAAGGCCCGCGCTGATCGCCCCCTGCAGCGCCCCAACCCTGGCCCCGGCCCCAGCCCCCTCGGCGCGCGCCCCCTCCCTGAGGCGGCTGGGGCGTGGCGCAGGTGCAGCGCAGGTGGGGCCAGGTGGCTCAGCCAGGGCCAGGGGTCCGGCAGGGCCTAGTCGCTTTTGTAGGAGGAAAGATTTTTGTCGCGGGTGAGAAGAATGATTCGTCGCCCAGTTAACCTGTGGCTCACGGGTGATCTCGCCTCTAAGCGTTTGCCACACTTTTTTTTTTTTTTTTTAAGTAGTAAAAGGCATGTGAACGGACCCTATACTTTGACCTCAGAGCATATGCAGGGCTTGTAAGGATTTTTAAGGTTGTAACAGTGGCTGGGAAATTGGGCATAAAGGGTGAAACGTGGCTTTCAGCTAAGAAAAATCTCGTAGCTCTGGCTTAGCAGGTACTCTCCATTGCATGGAATAGAGGCCCCGAGGGAACAAAGAAAAGAGACACGGGAAAAGTCGCCCCCTTGTGTAGCAGCAGCCGCGGTGGCCCTGGCCAGTTAGAATTCCGGTACAGGGTGGTTTTTCCTTCATGCGCCCAAACACATCCAGACACCTAACTGTTCTGGGAAAGAATTGTTTTGGATGACAATGCATCTGATTCGATGTAGAAATCATTTCTAGATTTTCCTGATAATGTTGTGACTAAACAGAAATATAAACTGTAAGTTTTACACCTCACAATATTGTAGGTTTTGGGCTGTGATTTTTGCTTTACTGGTCATTCTCTTTATGGGATTAAAAAAAAAAACCCACCATGAGCTTTTGTAAAAGTAAAGTTTTTTAATGAAAAAATATGCACCCCTTTGTAAGGTCTTAATAATGAAGATATCTGCCATTTATTAAGGCGCTGGGAATCTTACATCTCATTTTACATTTTGCACACACTCTCATATGTATTGGGCAGTCTGAAGTCAGTGTGTTTCACATCTCATTCCAGTTGCAGGCTCCTCTAGCTCAGCCTGTCTAAAATGGAGTGGATTTTTCCTTTCTCCCATATTCTGCCACACCTCTGCCATGCTCCTACCACCAGAAAAATCAAAGAAAAAGCTAGACACACCACCACTGATTGTGCCTTTTTCTCTCTAGGAATATCGTCACCATTCATCCAGTTTATGCCAGAAATCTGGGAATCCATCGTGCCTCCGTCCTCCCTTCCTGTCCCCCAGAGAAATCTGTAGCAAAAATGTGTCAATTGTTGCCACTTCTTCCTTCCCAGTTTCTTCTTCCCCACTGGCACCACCTATGTCATTGCACCATCATTTTCCTGCTTTGTCTACTCATGGAGCCTCTGATCTGGCCCCTCCATGCCTCCACCCTCTGGTCTGCTCACTCTGCAGCTTGTGTGGGTGATTTTTCTAATACGCTTGTGTGAGGACTGTATTGCCCTCCTGGTTAAAACCCTGCAGGGACAGCCTATTAATTACCCTGAGGACAAAAAATCCAGCCATCTAACTGTGCCTCGTAATGGACTTCAGATGCAGCCCTGTTGCTGTAGCCCCTTACAGTCTTCTTGAATTCCTTGAACGTAATCCCTTTTGCTCTGCAATGTGCCATTCCCTCCGCCTTGATCACGCTTTCCCTCCTCTTTGGCCAACTTCCACTTATCCTTCAGGCTCTAGTTTAAGTATATGTTTGCCCACTGCTTTGGATATTTCTGCTGTAAACCGGCATGCTCTTCTTGGAAGACTTGCCCTCCACATTTGTTGAGGTTTATGGCCACCTCTGCATGGGACATCCCTTATGCCAGAGACCAAGAGAGATTTGTTCAGGATTCCAACTTCTGACTCAGAGTTGGGGCTCAGTGTCTGCCTGTTGAGTGAATAATGTAGGGAGGGAAACTTTTTTCTATGTCTTCTTAGATTCATGCTTGAGGCCCTGAAAATTAAACTGACAAAAAGAGATAGATGGGAGAAAAAGTCTACTACATCTCCAAATTGTGAAATGTTAAACCAAGACACTTACATTTTAACTAACTCTGTGATAAATTAGGGAACAGAAGCTAGATCAAGGACAGAGGCTTCTAAAGTGAAGAGCAAGAGGGTAAATATGTGGAAGAAACAACAGAGAATAAAGAAACAACAGAGGATAAAGATTATTTAGATAACAGAAGATAAAGGTTTATAATGCAAACTTAAATTGATGCCTTCCCTGTTGGTAACAAATGTATTCCTGGTACTGGAGGGAAAAACACATTTACAAAGGTTATTGCCATTACCTAGGGGGATGTTTGTATTTAAATGAAAGTGAAAAGGATAAAGAACAAATTGCTTTCAGCTCCAAGCAATTCTTGTGCCAAAGTGGAATGCTTGTGGCAAACTGATCCCTTTCAAAGGAATAAGCTGTGCCATATTGTGATGATTAGAGCTACTTTAGCTTGTAGGGGTGAAGAGAAATTTCCCCTGTCTTCTAGAGCTTTGCCCAAATGAAGTGACAATAGATTAAAGAGGAAAGGAGTTATACACATTTATTAATGTGCCTGGGGCAGGGTTGGGATCACAGGTGTGTGATTACCCACAAACCCAACATGGTCCTGACACATCTTTACCCCTTTTTCTGTAGGTGAGGGAGAAGAGGGGAGTTTAAGGGAAATTGTGAATGATTTTTAGAGGAACTCTGTGGGCTTGGAGAACATAAATAGCCCAGGACAAAAATCTGTTTTGCCTGCAGCAGAGACAGTGCGTTAGAGATGCTTCTGGGACTGAAACTCAGAGAATGGCTTACAAAAAAATCTATCCAGGCAGAATTCACTCTTTCTTGGGATACGAGCTTACTTAAGAGAAGCTTAGGGGAAGAGACACAGGTTATTTATATCACTTTTGGCTTGTCCAAACTTTAGGCAGATAAAGGCACTTTGCAGGTAGCCTCTCCTTGTACTTGAAGACGGAAGACAAGGTTAGAGGGACATTGACTCTTAGCCTGCTTTTAAGACTTTTTTAATTTTCTTTTGATCAAACTTCTCAGCATGCCAAAAAACACCACATTTGGGGGATATCATTTTTAGCCTCAACAGGATGATTTATGCCTTTTGAAAGTGAATGTACTTCTCAGATGTTTCTGTTTTTGAAGGTAGATTTGAAGAGCCCTTGGGGACTGCGTGGGTGGAGCCCAGCTGTGCGGGAGCCCAGCATGGATGACTACACAGTCCAGAGGGTGATCGGCGAGGGCTCCTTCGGCAGAGCTCTTCTTGTGCAGCAGGAAAGCAGTAATCAGCTGTTCGCAATGAAGGAAATAAGGCTCCCCAAGGTCACTGCTAAAGAAACTAGGTCATAGTGAGCATGCGCTTGCAGTTTGTATAAGACAATAAGTTCTTGATGCTTAACGAGGAATTTCTCCTTCATGCAAACGATGTAATCTGTTTATTCATTGGCTTTATAAGAGCTTGATATAGTTTATGTGGCTCTTAGGACACTGCAGTTAGCAAAGGGAAAAAAATTAGCCCATGTTCAGGTAGTGATTATTGTTTATTTTATCCCAGTGTGTAATCAGCAGTAATTTCCAATCGTGTATACCTAACAGTGTAGCAGATCTTTGCCAAATGCAGTTCAGGTGCAGTATTAATGAGAACGGGACATAAAAATATGAAGAGCAAAGACCTAGGCTGCTCGCTCTTAGAATCAGGGAACTGACCATCTGGATCCATGAACAGGTGTCATTTCCCTCTAGACTTTATTACCATGTACTACAGTTGTCCTATGAAACAATACATGCTATGGAGCCTGCTTAATAATATTTTGTGGTTTTTTTTGTTTGTTTTGATGGACTTATTTATTTGTCTGAAAGGCAGAATAGCAGAGAGAAAGGGAGAAGCAGACATAATGAGAGATCTTCCATTTGCTGGTTCATTCCCCAAATGCCTACAACAGCCAGAGTTGAGCTAAGCCGAAGCCAGGAGCCAGGAACACCATCTGGGTCTACAACGTGGGTGGCAAGGACCTAAGCACTGGGGCCATCTTCCACTGGCTTCCCAGGTGCATTAAAAGGAAGCTAGATCAGAAGTAGAGCAGGAACTTGAACCCAGGCAGTTTGATGTGGAATGCAGGCATCCCAGTTGGCATCCTAACTACTGTGCCAAATGCCTACCGCACACCACTGAATTCTTGACCGTGTTATCTTGGGCCACAGACTGGTAAAATGTTACAGGTGGTCAAAACATTAAATCCTTGATTTATCTTTTAGGATGTCCTGTTCTTGATGGCATACTGGCCCTCCAAGTCAGTGATGCTTAGGTGAATATTAAAACTAGTTTACAGGAAAAAAAAAACTCATTTCCACTCTGTACATGTAAGAAATGGAAAGAGAAAATATTAGTATAATAAAATAGTCAGATCCAGCATGCAAAATATAGTCTCCTGCATGGGTACAGGGGCACAAATGCTGGGGCCATCTTCTGCTGCTTTCCCAGGTGCATTAGCAATGAGTTGGATGTGATGCTATTTTAAATACAATGTTAGGGGTGGGTATTATGGCACAGCAGGTTAAGCTGCCACTTGGGATGCTGACATCCCATAACGGATTGCCAGATCAAGTCCCAGCTGCTCTGCTTTCAGTCCAGCTCCCTACTAGTGGGCCTGGGAAGCTGTGGATGATGGTTCAAGTAGTTGAGTTCCTACCACCCATGGGAGACCTGGATAGAGTTCCTGGCTTTTGGCTTCAGCCTAGCCCAGCCCTAGTTGTGGCCATTTTGGGAGTGAATCAATGGATGAATGATACTTCTCTGCTATGCCACTTTTCAATAAATAAGACTTTAAAAATAAAATGCAATATAAATTTATAGTTTAAAATCTTTTTCTAGTCTTTTTCTGAAACACAGAAGTCTAGGAAGGAGGCTGTTCTGTTAGCCAAAATGAAACACCCCAATATTGTTGCCTTCAAAGAATCATTTGAAGGTGAGTATGAACTCCCATACATATGTGCACTTTTGAATTTATTTATGGCCACTGCAACTTTCCTAAAGACACTTATATTTGTTTTAGCTGAAGGACATCTATATATTGTGATGGAATATTGTGATGGAGGGGATCTAATGCAAAAGATTAAACAGCAAAAGGGAAAGTTATTTCCTGAAGATACGGTAAGAGACTACTTACATGTTTGTCCTTAAGATTCAGAAGTAACTTTTCTCATAAACTTCTTCTCAGTTAAAATTAAAGCATTGGTATCTAGGATTATCCAACACCCTAATTAGAAACAACTGCTTTTTCTAAGAGCTATTTGTTTGAAAGGCAGAGTTACAGAGAGAATCTTTCATCTGCTGGTTCACACCCCAGATGGCTGCAACATCCAGGGCTGAGCCAGGCTGCAGCCAGGAGCCAGGACCCAGGAGCGTCATCCAGTCTCTCGTGTGGGTGCAGGGGCCCCAGCATGTAGTCCATCTTCCATTGCTTTCCCAGGAGCATTAACAGGGAACTGAATCAGAAGTGGAGCAGCTGGGATTTGAACCGGTATGCATTTGGGACACTGGCACTGCAGGCAGTGGCTCAACCATCTTTCCTAGAGACACCCCAACAACTGATTTCTATACTAATGTTACTGAATGGTATCCTAAGGATGTGGCTGCCCAAAATATTTTTAGAAAGTAAAATCAATATGATGGTTATAAAATATAAAAGAATAAAATTTTCAAGTTTACAAGATTTTGAAAATTGTGTTACTCATTGTACTTTATAATAGATATTTCAGTCTTAATTTATTGTACTGAATTTTACTTTAATTTTCATTTATTATTTGAGAGGCAGAGAAATTTTTATTATTTGAGAGGCAGAGACTGACACAATGTTTCATCTTCGGGTTCACATCTCAAATGCTCACAATGGCCAGGACTGAGCTGGACCAAAACTGGGGGCCAGATGCACAGGCCAGGTCTTCCACATGGGTAGCAGGAACCCAATTACTTGAGCCATCACCACGATCTCCCAAGGTGTGCATTGACAGGAAGCTCCAGTCAGCAGCTGATGGCTCAAGTACTTGGGTCTCTGCTTCACACGTGGGAGACCTGGATGAAGTTCCAGGCTCCTCGCTTCAGCCTGGCTCAGCCCCAGTTGCGGGTATTTGGGAGTGAACCAGCAGATGAAAGATCTCTTTCCTCTTCCGACTATCTCTGTCTCTCCGCCTTTCAAATGAAAGTAAATCAGTGAATAATTCAACCACTAATGCTTTAAAAAAAGAAACCAAATTGCCATTTGAATCATACATGAAATAGGCATGGGGATCACAGCTTTTCTGGATTTCTTCAGACAACACTGAATCTTAATCGAACTAAGATGAGTGCAGGAGTTTTGTGCTCACGTTGTGTAAAACCCTGGGCAGCTGCATCCTAGAAATGGTTCTTTGGAATTTGGGGTTAGCGTTTACCCGTTACTACGTGTTTGTGGATTTTGCATCTTTTTCCTTACAGATACTTAATTGGTTTACACAAATGTGCCTTGGAGTAAATCACATTCACAAGAAACGGGTGCTACACAGAGATATCAAATCCAAGGTGAGTGGACTATATTTTTGGAGCTTAAAGAAAACCCAAAGCTGTATCGTTCGGTCTTTTGTTTTCTGTTACCTTATTTCCTTTTGGGACATTTCTGTTTAGTTGAAAAATATTTTTCAGCCTGATATTTATTTATTTACTTTTATTTAGTTAAAAAAATCTTCCCAGCTTTATTAAGATAAAAATGTATAAAGATACCATGCATTAAGATATAAAATTGTATATAGTTATGAGGTATATCTTTTTTTAATGTATGTATACCTTGTGAAATGATGAACTCAAACTAATTAACATACCCATCACCTTGCATACTTATCCATTTTTGTGGTGAGAACCTTTTGGATGTATTCGCTTAGCAGTGTTCAAGCATACTGTATGTTATTATGAACTGTCATTAACAAGCCATACACCTGATCTGAACTATTCGTTCCTTCAAACTGAAACTTTGTACCCTTTGACTTAATATTAACCAAATAAAGTATCACCTGAGAAGAAGCCACTAGAGTCACTTTGGTAGTGTATGCTAATATGTTCCCAGCCTTTTTGGTCCCCATTCCTGAGTACATATGTTCTCAGATGGAAAGTAGTTGAGGGGCCGGCGCTGTGGCGTAGCAGGTAAAGCTGCTGCCTGCAGTCCCGGCATCCCATATGGGCACCAGTTCAAGTCTTGGCTGCTCCACTTCCGATCCAGCTCTTTGCTATGGCCTGGGAAAGCAGTATTAGATGGCCCAAGTTGTTGGGCCCCTGCACCCACGTGGGAAACCTGGAAGAAGCTCCTGGCTCCTGGCTTTGGATCGGCGTAGCTCCAGCCATTGTGGCCAATTGGGGGGTGAGCCAGCAGATGGAAGACCTCTCTCTCTCTCTCTTTCTCTCTTTCTCTCTCTCTCTCAATCTACCTCTCTGTGTAATTCTGACTTTCAAATAAATGAATAAATCTTTTAAAAAAGAAAAGGAAGTAGCTGACACCTGTTGCTGCCACGTGGGGTCACCCTGACACAGGTTCCTGTTCAGTCAGGTCTGCTGACTCACCCAAAGCTTATTCAGTTTCAAAGCCGTCACCTGGAGCTCCCAGGCAGGGGGCTGTGTAGCTGGCAGGAGGGCATCTTGTATTCCACGCCAGCATTTCTACCCTTGGTCTCTGATGTCAGCCTCTGGAGACCTTGGCCTTGTGTCTGCATGAAGGAAGATGTAACCTGAGTTCTTCTTGTTTCATACAGAATGTCTTTCTCACCCAAAATGGAAAAGTAAAATTGGGAGATTTTGGATCTGCCCGTCTTCTCTCTGAGTACGTACTGCTTTTGTCATGCTGTGACAGTAATCAGAACATGCTGCATTTTCAGGAATGATCTGTGGTCACTCTTTGCCATTTTTGGTTTTAGTCCCATGGCGTTTGCTTGTACATATGTGGGAACACCTTATTATGTGCCTCCAGAAATTTGGGAGAACTTGCCTTACAACAATAAAAGGTAAGCAGTGGACTTATTTTGTGCAAGGGTGACCATTTGGTGACCTGTGCAGGACACTAGAGTTAGCGCCACTGTAAAGCAGATACACAGAGCATCTTGGTTTTTAAAAGATATATCTGAAAGCACTGTGGAATCCATATTCTCTGGCTTCTAGACGAATGTTATAGTTTTCTGTTTTAATCAGAGCTGAGAAGAGCTCATTATAAATGCCAGAAGAAAGGTTAGTTATTTCTAAAAACAGTATGAATTATATTATTGGTTCCCATACTTTGCTTCTCCAACTTTCTTTATTTAAAAAAAAAAGATTTATTTATTAATTTGAAAGCCAGAGTCACAGAGAGAGAGAGAGAGGGAGGGAGAGGAGAGAAGAGAAGAGAGAGAGAAAGAGAGAGATTTTCTATCTACTGGTTCACTCCCCAAATGGCTGCAATGGCCAGGGCTGGGCCAAGCTGAAGCCAGGAGCTTGGAGTTTCTTCTGGGTCTTCCTTGTGGGTGCAGGGCCCCAGGCACCTGGGTCATCTTCCATTGCTTTCCCAGATGCACTAGAAAGCTGGATTGGTAGTGGAGCAGCCAGGACTCAGACTGGTGCCCATATGGGATGCTGGCACTGCAGGCAGATGCTTAACTTTCTATGCCATAGTGCCAGCCTGCTGCTCCCACTTTAAAAAAATTTTTTTAATGTATTTATTTTTACTTGTTTGAGAAACAGAGAGATAGTGAGAGACAGATCTTCCCTCTGCTGGTTCACTCTCCGAATGGCTGAAACAGCCTGGTCTGAGCCAAGCCAAAATCAGGAGCCAGGGGACCAGCACATTGGCGTAGCCGGTAAAAGCCACTGCCTGCTGTGCCAGAATTCCATCTGGCTGCTGGTTCGAGTCCTGGCTGCTCCTCTTCCGATCCAGCTGTCTGCTATGATCTAGGAAAGCTGTTAGAAGACGGCCCAGGTACTTGGGCCCCTGCACCCAGGTGGGAGGCCCAGAGGAAGCTCCTGGCTCCTGGCTTTGGATTGGCCCAGCTCTGGCAGTTGTGGCTGTTGGGGGAGTGAACCAGTGATGAAAGCCCTCTCTCTCTCTGCCTCTGCCTCTCTGTAACTCAGCCTTTCAAATAAATAAATAAATAAATCTTAAAACCTGCCAACCAACCAACCAGACACAAAAACAGGAGCCAGGAGCTCCATCCTGGTCTCTCATATGTATGGCAGGGGTGCAAATACTGGGGCTGTGTACCTGCATCATCTGGAAGTGGGATCAGAAGTGGAACAACCAGTATTCAAACTGGCCCTCCAGTGTGGGATGATGGTTTTGCAAGCAGCAGCTTAACGCTGCACCACAATGCCAGTCCTACCCCCACTTTAAAAAATCCCAAAGTCCTGGTTGCATCCATGTCAATTAAATTAGAGTATCAGAGGATGAAAAGCTAGCATCAGGGGCTGGTGCCATGGCTCACTTGGTTAATCCTCCATCCTCCGCCTGCGGCGCCGGCATCCCATGTGGGCACTGGGTTCTAGTCCCAGTTGCTCCTCTTCCAGTCTGGCTCTCTGCTGTGGCCCGGGAGGGCAGTGGAGGATGGCCCAGGTGCTTGGGCCTCTGCACCCTCATGGGAGACCAGGAGGAAGTGCCTGGCTCCTGACTTCGGATCAGCGCAACGCCGGCCGTGGCAGCCATTTGGGAAGTGAACCAATGGAAGGAAGACCTTTCTCCCTGTCTCTCTCTCTCTCACTGTCTGTAACTCTACCTGCCAAGTAAATTAAAAAAAAATAAAAAATAAAAAATAAAAAAGCAAGCATCAGCAATTTTTCAAGATGACCAATTTGTCAAGAGATTCCAATATGCAGCAACATTTGGGAACCCCTAGATCATGTCATTGAGTTAACATTTACAGGACTAGGTAATAATCACCTGGTTGGTAAGTTAGCTGATTGCTGAAAGTTCATCTGAGGGCCTTATGATTTAAAACTGTGGTGGGTGTTGTGGCACAGTGGGTGAGGCCACTGCTTGCATACAATATCAGAGTGCCTGGTTCAAGTCTTGGCTACTCTGCTTCCAATCCAGCTAATGCAACGTGGGAAAGCAGTAGATGATGGCCCCAGTACTTGAGTCCCTGCTGCCCATCTGTGAGACCCATGTGGAGTTCCTGGCTCCAGGCTCTGAGCTTCAGCCTAGCCCACAATTGTGGGCATTTGGGGCATGAACCAGTGCATGGAAGATCTCTCTCTCTCTCTCTCTCATCTCTTTCTCTCTCTCCCTCTCTCTCTTTTTATTCTGCCTTTCAAATAAATAAATAAATATTTAAAAAGTAAAACCGTATTTTTTCTGATTACAAGTTCTATGTGCCTGTTGTGGGTATGAGTAGCCAGAAAGGATTGGACATAGAAGGAAATGGAAACCACCCGCTTTCCACAACTACTACTAAGAATTTTTTGGTGGGGTTTTCCCCTTTCTCCCCATAGCACTAATTGGTATATTCTCTACACAACTTGATATCCTGATTTTTTTTCACTTTACCTTACATTAATTTCCCCACACATTCAGACTTCCTAAATATTTATCAAGGCTTCATGTATTTTACTTTATGGCTCTTCCTAAAGTTGACTTAACTTTTCCTCTGTCCTTGTGCTTATGTTTCCAGTTTCTGGAATTGTAAACATGCTGCGATTAACTTATTGTTTGTGCATAAAAATGTCATTGTCTTATATTGTATTTTTGGCATGGACTCCTAGAGACAGAAGCACCTGAAAGCTCTTATTACTTTCTACCAAGTGGCTTTCTGAAAAGGGTACACAATCTATACTAAATAGGTTCGTTTCAAAGTAGAATTGACTACTTTGGGAACAAAACACCCCTCAAGGGATTTATTGGGAGACTGGAGTTTGGACTAAATACTAGACTATATAATTGAGTTCTCTGCTTGCGGGTGATAATGGTGCATGTTCATGAGGGAGAGTGTGTGTCCTTGCTCTTGGGAGGTACACACTGGAGTGTCTGGGGTGAGTGTTTGATACCTGCAGCCTTTTCTCCAGGGGTTCAGAGATACATAGAGGGAGATAGCATGCAAGTGTGGCAGATGTTAACCATTGGGGAACCTGACTGAGAGCATGTGGGCATTTGTAACTCCTGTAGGCTTGAAATTTTAAAAAAAGTAAAATCGAGGGAAACAATTAGTTAAAATAAAACATAAAATAAAAGGAATGTCCCAGTGGCGTTGTGGTGCAGTAGGTTGAGCTACAGCTGATGACGTCAGCATCCCATTTCTGAATCCTGAGTGCTTTACTTCTGATCCAGCTTCCTGTGCTGGGGAAGACAGCTGCTGACAGCCTAATTTCTTGAGCCCCTGCTATCCACATGGGAAACCAGGAGGAAGTTCCTGGCTCCTGGCTTCAGCCTGTCCCAGCCCTGGCTGTTACAGGCATTTGGGGAGTGAACCAGCGGGTGGAAGATCTCTGTCTCTGTCTGTCTGTCTGTCTGTCTGTCTCTCTCTCTCTCTGTAACTCTGCCTTTCAAATGAATAAATACATCTTAAAAAATAATAATAACAAGAGTGTCATTGAGAAAAAGCCTGGAGGATGACAACTGGGCAGTGAGGCTGCTGGAGGAGAACTGAGATGTTTGGCATGAGGAAGTCGGGCACAGGACCACCCATAGGCCTCTGGTGAGTTTGAAGAGCTGTTTTGTGGAAGAACGAGTGGTCTTGTTCTCTTTCTCTTGGAGCATGAGCTGACTCTAGGCCTGGAGAATGTTGCCAGAGGACTCATTTGGCTTCTGTGAGGCAGGAGGTGCTACCTTAGGGCCTCCAGCAGGGCAACGGACTATGCCACATATGGCAGAGAGCCGTCCACCAGGAGCTGCCCTCTTGGGCCGGCTGCCATGCATGTGGCGGTCTGGTGGAAGCTGTACTGGACATCCTCTAAGTCCTTCCTCCAGCTCTGACAGTCTCAGTTCACAGATACTCCTTCCTTTTGCCCCTGAATTCCCTAATGCTGTTGAAATGGTATCTGAACCACCCTGATTGGGAGTGGTACAAGTTGGGGAGCAGAGAGTTTTATTGTGACCATTATTCTTAGTACCTAAGTATTAAACCAAAATTACTATATGTCTTCTTTAAATACCTAGGAATTACTTATGCCTATTCTTACTAAAAGTAGGATAATTTTTCTTTTTTTATTCAAAAATGCATCTTTTTTTTTTTTGACAGGCATATTTAGACAGTGTGAGGGAGAGAGAGAGAGACAGAAAGAAAGGTCTTCCTTTTCGTTGGTTCACCCCCCAAATGGCCACTACGGCTGGCATGCTGCAGCCGGCGCGGTGCGCCAATCCAAAGCCAGGAGCCAGGTGCTTCCTCCTGGTCTCCCATGTGGGTGCAGGGCCCAAGCACTTGGGCCATCCTCCACTGCCTTCCCTGGCCACAGCAGCGAGCTGGACTGGAAGAGGAGCAACCAGGACAGAATCCGGCTGGGACTAGAACCCAGGGTGCCAGTTCCGCAGGCAGAGGATTAGCCAAGTGAGCCACGGTGCCGGCCATAATGCATCTGTTTTTGTGTAATAACTCACAACCTACTTACTGATATGTTGCTTCCTCTACGTTTCCAGTGACATCTGGTCCTTAGGATGCATTCTGTATGAACTCTGTACCCTTAAGCATCCGGTAAGTATGGTGCACAAAACATAACTGGAAGCTTGTGGTTATCTCTGGCTAGGTCCTAAGCAATGTAGAAAATTCCAGCTGGCAGTTCACTTACCTAGGATGAATTCATTATGAAAAAGTTTTCCTATGTTGTCATTATTGTCTTCTTTGCCTAGAGCCACTTTTGTGATGTATACCAATAGGAAATGTCTGTTATTTCATTTCTGTTGCTCTATATGTAGCTTGTCTTTCCTTCTTCTTTCCATAGCGTTCTTAAATTTTTAAGATTTTTGGTAAAAAAAAATATATATAATATGCAATTTGCGATTTTAACCATTTTTATGTGTATAATTCAGTGGCATTAACTATATTGTCAATATTGTACAATCATCAATAATACTTCCCTGTTAAACTTCTTCACCATCCCAAACAGAAACTTTACACCCATTAAATAATTACTCCTTGTTCCTCTCTCCCCCAGCTCCTGGTCTCTAGTCTACTCTCTGTCTCTATGAATCGCATATTCTAGATATTTCGTGTAAGTGAGGTAATAAAATAGTTGTCTTTTATGTCTTGTTTATTCCACTTAGCATAATGTTTTCAAAGCTCATCATCCTTGTTGAACATGTATCAGAATTCCATTCCATTTTGTGGCTGAATAATATTCCATTGTGTGTATACAGTATACAGTGTCTGTGGACACTGGAGTTGGGGTGTTTCTACTTTTTGACTCTTGAGGATAATGCTGCTATGAACACGAGAGCAAGTGTCTGTCAGACTCTCTGATTCCAGTTTTTGAGGTGTACATCCAAGAGTGGAATTGCTGTATAATATGATAATATATGTTTAGCTTTCTGAGGAATGGCCAAATATTTCCAGAATGGCTGTACCATTTTTATACCAATGTTTTTGAAATTAGATTTTACTTACCATGTGTGTTTCCTCTGTAACTGAAATACGAGAAAATAGACTCTGCCACATTGTATTGTGTTTTTCTACATATTTTAAAAAATAATTCAGCCAGCGCCGCAGCTCAATAGGCTAATTCTCTGCCTGCGACGCCAGCACACCGGGTTCTAGTCCCGGTTGCTCCTCTTCCAGGCCAGCTCTCTGCTGTGCCCCAGGAGTGCAGTGAAGGATGGCCCAAGTGCTTGGGCCCTGCACCCGCATGGGAGACCTGGAGAAGCACCTGGCTCCTGGCTTCGAATCAGCGTGGTGCGCCGGCCACAGCACACCAGCCGTAGTGGCCATTGGAGGGTGAACCAACGGTAAAGGAAGACCTTTCTCTCTGTCTCTCTCTCTCACTGTCCACTCTGCCTGTCAAAAAATAAAAATAAAAAAAATAATATTTCAACAAAATAGATGGTAAATACCTTGTCCTTTTTGTTTAGCAGTAGTTTATTGCAAAGAACAGCAATCGTAGAATTGATTTCCATTAAGTCGTTGCTTTGTATGGAAATAAATTCTGTTCTTTGGGCATGAATTGAAAATGAGCTCTACCAAGCTTTTACACAGATGTACTTGACCACACACAGAGCTCAGGAGAGGGAATGGCTGAGAAAAAGCCCCAGCACCACCAGAGGAAGGTAACGCAAACTGAAGGTCTGTGCTGTTCAGGAGAGGGCGTCTGTTTGAACAAGCGGCTTGTCATGCTGCCCGTCCAATTAGAACGCGGTGGGGAACCTGTGAGAATGCTGCTGCCTGGGCCCACACTAACTCTGAAGGTGTCCTGGACATTAATATTTTTAAGAGGTTATTCTGGGTCTGGTGCTGAGGTGTAGTGAGTAAAACCGCAGCCTATGATGCCAGCCAGCAGCACACGTGGGCACCTCTTTGAGTCTCAGTGGCTCCAATTCCAATCCAGCTCCCTGCTAATATGCCTGAGAAAGCCTGGAAGTTGGCCCAAGTCCTTGGGGCCCTGCACCCACATGGGAGACCCAGATAAAGCTCTTGTCTCCTGTTTTCAGCCTGGTCCTGCCCTGGCTATTGCGCCATTTGGGGAGTGAACAAATGGAAGATCAGTCATCTCTCGCTCTCTCTCTCTCTCTCCCCCCTCTCTCCCTCCCACCCTCCCTCTCTCTCTCCCCCCCCTTCTTGCTTTGTAACTCTGCCTTTCAAATAAAATAAATACATCATTAAAAAAAAAAAAACCACAGGTGATTCTGATGTACAGCTTACGTTGAGAAACACTGTTATATACAAATAAAATTATTTAATTTTAACATCATGAATATTTTAGAAATGTTTTTCATAAGCTTAAATATACTTGTTCTTCTTCCTAGCAAGAATACACAGGGAGGACTAGAGTGCCCAGATTCTTTGGCACACAGTCTTTCATCTCTTCTCTGCTTTAAGACAAAGTTTTTGTATTTTTGGGGTCAGATGAGTGGCTAAGATGCTGCTTGAGATACCCACATCCCATACTGGAATGCCTGGGTTTGTGGCTAATGCCCACCCTGGGAGGCAGTGGGTGATAACTCAAGTGGTTGGGGCCCTACCACCCATGTGGGAGACTCAGATTTGAGTTCCAGGCTGCTAGATTCAGCCTGGCCCAGCCCCAGCTTTTATGGGCATTTGGAGAATGAACCAGGAATGGAAGATCTCTCTCTCTCTCTCTACCTCTGCCTTTCAGATAGATAAAAAAACTATATATATATATATATATAAAAAAAAGTATATATATACACTTTTAAGAGATATATTTATTTATTTGAGAGGCAGAGTTATTTACAGACAGAGAGAGGGAGAAACAGAAGTCTTCCATCTACTGGTTCACTCTTCTTCCCGGCTTCCCATGTGGGTGCAGGGGCCCAAGGACCTGGGCCCTCCTCCACCACTCTCCCAGGCCATAATTAGGGAGCTGGATTGGAAGCCCATATGGGATGCCAGCACTGCAGGCAGGGGCTTAACCTACTAAGCCACAGCACCAGCCCCCATAAATAAATATATTTTTAAAAACAGTTGTTCTCAAAACTTTAGGAAATGTAGAAATGCAGTATAATTGTTTAAAAGCCTGAGGCCAAGCACATTCAATTTTATTTTTCATTATCTGAAGTTTCCTTTGTTATAGGTTGGGTTTTTTTCATGTCTTCACTTTTTTTTATTAATAGGGCAATACACTTTCAAGATAGAGTGCCAACATGTTCTTATATGAGCATTAGCAAGGCTGACGGATAATGTTGGTTCCAATAAATATATTACACATGGAAAACTTTTAAGATGTTATTCCACTGTGTCATTTTATGTCCCCACTCTTTTACTTGTCAAACTTTAATAGCTTCTTTAATGGCATGAAAGTTAAGAAGGATAAAGTTTAAATCTGGAAAGTACATGTTGTTACAGTATAAGTCTTGGGGTTTCTGGGGAAGAATGGAGCAAAAGAATATTATGCACATTGTGAGTCTTCTGTATCATTTGATTTTTTTTAAAAAAGTTATATGTATTATTGTGATTTTTAAAATATATTAAAAAATGTATATCTGTAACATTGATGTTGACTTTAAAAGTATGCAAGGCAGGCAAGTTTCTTATTGTTCATGCTGACCTTTCTCCTGAACCACCATATTATCTTTTAAGTTTTATGTATTTATATGAGAGATAGAAAGAGCTTGCATCCACTGGCTCACTCCCCAGATGCCTGCAGTGGCCAGGACTGGGAACTGGGAACTCAATCCAGGTCTCCCAAGTGGGTGGCAGGAGCCCGATTTCTTGAGCCATCACCTCTGACTCCCAGGGTCTGCTTTAGCAGGAAACTGGAGTCAGGAACCACAGTAGGTGTCCAGCTGAGGCACTCTGGTTTGGGATGCAGGTGCCTTAACCACTAGGCTAAACAGCTGCTCTCTATAGAATAGTACCTTTATTTTAAGAAAATATTTATTTTATTTATTTGAAATAAGAGTTACAGAGAGAGACAGAGAGAGAGAGAGGTGTTCTATCCACTGGGTCACTCCCCAAATGGCTGCAATTGTCTGGGCTGGGCCAGGCCAAAGCCAGGAGCCAGGAGCTTCTTCTGGGTCTCCCACATGGGTGCAGGGACACAAGCACTTGGGCCATCTTCCACTGCTCTCTCAGGCCATAAGCAGAGAGCTGGATTGGAAGTGGAGCAGCTGAGACTTGGACCGGCACTCATATGGGATGCCAACATCGCAAGCAGCAGCTTGACATGTTTTGCCACAACAAATATCTTAAGGAAACTTCTAGAAAGAAAAATGACCCAGCCTGAGGTACATTTATAAAATTAAAATAGTTTATATGAATTCATTTCAGTTGGTATTTTCTAATTTCCTTTTTCTTTCCCTGTTTCTGCTTTTCAAGTTCTGTTTTTACTTTTCAGTTTCAGGCAAATAGTTGGAAAAGTCTCATCCTCAAAATATGTGGAGGGTCCATCAGGCCACTGCCTTCCCATTACTCCTACGAGCTACAGTTTCTAATCAAGCAGATGTTTAAGAGGAATCCCCTGCACCGCCCTTCAGCCTCGGCACTCCTGTGCAGAGGCAGCCTAGCTCCTCTCCTGGGGAAGTGCTTCCCCCCTGAGGTAGGACGCCTGTTGGATCAGCTGTGAACAGGTTTCTGGGGTTGGCTAAATGGCTTGTTATCTTGTCAACACACTTGCAAGAGTACTTTTAAACTTTTAACATACAATTACTTTTAAACACAGTTACAGTTCTACTTTAAAAAGTTTGGGGAGAATGGAATTAAAAGTTTCATATAAAAATACCAAAAAGGTACATAGAAATTGTGAAATCCACGAATATGAGGGTCCTCAAAAAACTCAGAAAAAATGCATGCTATGAAAAAGCTGTGCACGATCTTAAAATTGTTTTCTACTAAAAATTTAATTTTAATTCTGTTTTTCCATGAACTTTTTAAAAAGATTTATTTAGTTATTTGAAAGGCAGAGTTATAGAGAGAGGGAGAGACAGAGAGAGAGAAAGAGAGATCTTCCATGCACTGGTTCGCTTCTGAAATGACCACACATGGCTGAACCAGATCGAAGCCAGGAGCCAGGAGCTTCTTCCAGGTCTCTCACATGGGTTCTGGGTCCAAGCATTTGGGCCATCTTCTGCTGCTTTCCCAGGCCATTAGCAGAGAGCTGGATCAGAAGTTGAGCAGCCAGTACTTGAACTGGTGCTCACATGGGATGCCGGCACTGCAAGCAATTGCTCAACCCACTATACCACAATGCTGCCCCTTCCCGTGAATCTTCTGAAGTGCCCTTGTGGGGCTGGCACTGTGGTGTAGCAGGTAAAGCTGCCACCTGCAATGCTAGCATTCCATATGGGCACTGGTTTGTGTCCCAGCTGCTCCACTTGCAATCCAGCTCCTTGCTAATGCACCTGGGAAAGCAGTGGAAGCTGGCCCAGGTGTGAGAGACATGGGTAGAGTTCCTGGCTCCTGGCTTTGGTCAGGCTCATTCCTGGCCGTTGTGGCCATTTGGGAGGGTGTACCAGCGGATAGAAGATCTCTCCCTTTCTGTCTATCTATCTCCATCTCTCCCTCTGTCTGTAACCCTGCTTTTAAAATAAATAAGTTTTTTTAAAAATTCAAATGATGCAGAACTGTATTAAAATACAAAAAGTTAATGTTTCCTTCCCTTTCTTCTTCGTCCCACAATGTTTCCCGAGTATAAGCTCAGCTGTGGTTTATGTAATCATACAGATCTTTATTTATATATATAAATTATATATTTTATGTGTTTAAAATATATAAATTATATATAAATGTCTATATCTCTTTGCCTAAACTACATGTATTTTTAAATGTCATTTTTTATTTTTCAACTTAAATCTTATTATGCTGAAGATTGTTGATAATTAAATAACATTATGGCAGTGTCTAAAGAGGTGTATATAAATTCCCAACTTTAATTTTCAGATCATCTCAGAATATGGTGAACAGATACTAGAAGAAACCAAAAAGTCTAAGCATAATGCACCAAGAAAAAAGGGTAAGAATTCTGGAAATGTTTTTTCAATTTAGTTTCATTTATTTCAAAGGCAGAAAGAGAGGTAGAGACCGACAGATCTTTCATCCGCTGGTTCACTCCCCAAATGCCCACAAGAGCCAGGTCTGGGCCAGGCCACAGCTGGGAGCCAGGAACACAGTCCAGATGTCCTGCTTAGGTGGCAGGAACCCAGGTGCACCTTCACAGGAAGTGGAATCAGGAGCCCAAGATGGGAATTGAACTCAAGCATTCTGATGCGGGATGCAGGCATCCTAGCTGATGTCCTAACTGCTGGGCCAAATGCCTGCCGCACAATAGCAATTTTGAATTTTTATGTTTTTTTAAAGATTTGTTTATTTGAAAGGCAAGGTGACAGAGAGAGGAGGGGGGAGGGAGAGAAAGAGAGAGAGAGAGAGAGAGACTGACTTAAGTGAATGGAAATTTAAGTGAATGGAAATGTTTCTAAACTTTCAGAGTTTAACATCAGGAATTAACAACAGAAATATCTTCTTTGAACACGTGGAGTGTGTTATCGTGTGATTAAAGCCTGGAATCCCTCTTCAGGTTTTTTTTTTAAAAGAATTATTTTATTTATTTGAAAGAGTTACACAGAGAAGGAGAGGCAGAGAGAGAGATCTTCCGTTCCATTGGTTCATTCCCCCAAATGACTGCAACAGCCAGAGCTGAGCTGAAGCCAGGAGCTTCTTCCAGGTCTCCCATGTGGGTGCAGGAGCCCAAGGACTTGGGCAATCTTCTACTGTTTTCCCAGGCCATAGCAGAGAGTTGGATCAGAAGTGGAGCAGCTGGGACTCGAACCAGTGCCCATATGGGATGCTGGTGCTATATGTTAGGGCTTTAACCCGCTACACCACAGCGTCGGCTCCAGGTTCTTTGCCTTGAAGACCTTCACTTGTCTCTCAAGCTTTGTGCTGATCCCATTAGGGAACTCATCAGGTGATTCTTCCTGTGTTTCTCTGCCCACCTTTTTCTTTTTAAGCAGACACCAGCAGAATCAGGATTGCCTTGGGAAATGAAGCAAGCTCGACGGTAAGTGCTTTAAAATGACATTTTTGAGACATCCATCTATGGGGCACTGGCTGCCCTTGGGTGCTCTGAGATATTGAAAGGCTGTGGGGCCCCAGCGGGGAAGCAGTTCTGCATCTTTGACGTGTGACGACATCATCAGTCTTGGAGCCCTGCACTGCTGGGTGAGCCTCTGTAAGTCACCAGTTATTTGATCTGTTTCTTCATTTTTCTTTTAAAATATATTTTTTATTGTTAAAAAAAAGAACTAGATTTCATGTATTTCAAAGATACAATCCGAGAACTTAAGGAAACCTCCATCCCTCCTCCTTTTTTTTTTTCTTTTAATTTTTGCCATAGCATACTTTTTTTTTTTTTTTTTTTTTTTTTTATTTATTTTTTTGACAGGCAGAGTGGACAGTGAGAGAGAGAGACAGAGAGAAAGGTCTTCCTTTGCCGTTGGTTCACCCTCCAATGGCCGCCGCGGCCGGCGCGCTGCGGCCGGCGCACTGCGCTGATCCGATGGCAGGAGCCAGGAGCCAGGTGCTTTTCCTGGTCTCCCATGGGGTGCAGGGCCCAAGCACCTGGGCCATCCTCCACTGCACTCCCGGGCCACAGCAGAGGGCTGGCCTGGAAGAGGGGCAACCGGGACAGAATCCGGCGCCCCGACCGGGACTAGAACCCGGTGTGCCGGCGCCGCTAGGCGGAGGATTAGCCTAGTGAGCCGCGGCGCCGGCCTGCCATAGCATACTTTTGATTTACTTTATAATCACAGGCTTAATACTCCACTGAATATAGTGTTCAGCAGTAAAAAGTAGAAAGACCGCTGTTCTACAGGAATATAGACAAGGGTTGTAAATGATCATCAGATGATAAACTGTCAATTTTATTCTTATACATTTAGGGTTTTTTTTTGTATTCTATATATAAGCTACCATACATCAGAGAAAACATATGATGTTTGTGAGTCTGGCTCATCTCACTAAGCATAATGATCTCCAGTTGCATTCATTTTTTATTTGCAAAAGACAGGATTTCTTGATCAGTGACAATGGCCTGAAAACACATGTAAGAGAATTAGTCGTGTTTTCAGTCATGAAAATGTTGTTTTAGGCTGGCTTTTTGTTTTTTATTGCAATAAAATATATATAGCCAAACAATTACTGTTTTAGGCAATTTTAAGTGAACAATTCAACATCATTAATTATACTTATAACATTGTGCAGCCATCACCACTGTTCCCAAAACTTTTCATTGCTTGGGGTTGGTGCTGTGGCATAGTAGGCTCAGCCAGTTCGAGTCCCACCTGCCCCACTTTGTATCCAGCTCCCTGCTAATGGTATGGGGAAGCAGTGGAAGATGGCCCAAGTCCTTGGGCCCCTGCAGCCACATGGAAAAGCCAGAAGAAGCTCCTAGCTTCAGATTAGCTCAGCTCTGACCTTTTTTATTATTATTTTCTTTTTTTTTTGACAGGCAGAGTGGACAGTGAGAGAGAGAGACAGAGAGAAAGGTCTTCCTTTGCCATTGGTGGTCACCCTCCAATGGCCACCGCGGCTGGCGCGCTGCGGCTGGCACACCGCGCTGATCTGATGTCAGGAGCCAGGTACTTCTCCTGGTCTCCCATGGGGTGCGGGGCCCAAGCACTTGGGCCATCCTCCACTGCACTCCCTGGCCACAGCAGAGAGCTGGCCTGGAAGAGGGGCAACCGGGACAGAATCCGGCGCCCCGACCGGGACTAGAACCCCGTGTGCCGGCACCACAAGGCGGAGGATTAACCTAGTGGGCCACGGCGCCGGCCCAAAATCAGCTCTGACCTTTGCGGCCATTTGGGGAGTGAACCAGCGGATGGGAGATCTTTCTTTCCTTCTCTCGCTGTCTCTGTCTGTAATTCTACCACTCAAATAAATAAAATAAAAAATCTTAAAAAAAAAAAAAAACTTTTCATTGCCCCAGATGAAAACTCTGAACCTATTAAACAATATCTTTGCATTTACCTGCCCCCAGCCCCCACTCAGTTCCTGGTGACTTCAAATTTATGTTTTGTTTTCTATGAATTTGCTTGTCTTTATATTTCCTAATTGGAATCTCACAAGATTTGTCCTTTTGGTTCTGGCTTCTTTGACTTATGTAATGTTTTCAGGGTTCATCTGTGTAAATTCATTCCTTTTTACTGATAAGTGATTTTTAGATCACTATTTTTTTTAAAAGATTTTATTTATTTGAGAGAGTTACAGAGAGACGGGGACAGAGAGAAAGGTCTTTTATCCACTGGTTCACTCCCCAGATGGTCACAATGGAATGGAGCTGAGCCAATCCTAAGCTAGGAGTCAGGAGCATCTTCCAGGTCTCCCACATGGGTGCAGGGGCCCAACCACTTGGGCCATCTTCCATTGCCTTCCCAGGCCATCAGCAGAGAGCTGGATCAGAAGAGGAGCAGCCGGGACATGAACTGGCACCCATATGGAATTCTGGTGCTTCAGGCAGAGGCTTAGCCCATTACACCAGAGCACTGGCCCCATCACTAATTTTTTTTTTTTTTCAGTTCAAGTATTCTTTATTCAAAGGTGAAAAATGTACTATCCTGCATTATTGCAAAAAAAAAAAATTCACTGGCACAAAACACTTTTGAGCAAGTGAGAAGGCAATAAAATGTTGACTTTAAAACTCATTACTGTAAGTCATTCTGACAGTACTTTGCAAACTCAGAATTTCAAACTGCATTTTCTTTTTCTAAATTGCCCGTGGTACCCGAGGTTCCGGAAGCTCAGGCAGCTATTTCAGACAGGAAGGGGAGGAAGGAACTAGCAGAGGTCAAGGGATTTCCATTTCTCTTTCAGTCCCCACAGACTTCAGATTACAGATACTGGTTGCATCTGTTGAGATTCCTTGAATGATTTGCAAAATGACTTTTGTTACCCTTGCTGGTTGCATCCACTACAGAATCATTGTTCAAGTTGAACAAAAAGCTTCATATGTTATATATCTTATACTTTCGCTCTCCAGTCTACTTCATCTTGAGAAATTCCCTCTCCACGGTATTCAGAGATGAATTCATTTTCTGTACAGAGTCTTTGCTAAAACTCCCTCGGCCTGCCATCTGCGATGGTGCCAGCAGGAAATGCCCTTTGCAGTTGTACCTTTGTGCAGTGTGCTGCCCACAAGCGGGTTTCCTTTTCTTCTTAATTGGAGGATGTCCACATCCTCAGCAGGAGCTGGGCTATCACACTAGACTGACTCTAAATTCATATGCCTGTCTACATGTCTTGACCCAGCTAACCCAGCAATGGCACAGAAGTGATCCTAGTAAGTGCCGGTGAGGACTCTCATCTAGTGTAGGGACAGAAAGGAATGATACCTTTCCGCACCCATCAAAAAGGACATGGTCAATACCCTATAACAAAAGACAGGTTAACAGGAGAGGGGCCAGCATTGTGGCAGAATGGGTTAAGCTGCCACCTGCAATGCCAGCATCCCATATGGGTCCCAGTTTGAGTCCTGGCTGCTTCACTTCTGATCCAGCTCCCTGTTAATGTGCCTGGGAAAGCCGCAGGTGAAGGCCCAAGTGCTTGGGCCCCTGTACCTGTGTGGGAGAGCTGGAAGAAGCTCCTGGCTCCTGCTTTCTGCGTGGCCCAGCTCCAGCCATTGTGGCCATTTGGGGAGTGAACCAGTGGATGGAAGGTCTCTTTCTCTCTGTCTCTCCCTCTCTGTAACTCTGCCTTTCAAATAAATAAAATCAATCTTTAAAAAGAGAGAGAGAGGCCAGCGCCGCGGCTCACTAGGTTAATCCTCCGCCTTGCGGCGCCGGCACACCGGGTTCTAGTCCAAGTCGGGGCGCTGGATTCTGTCCCAGTTGCCCCTCTTCCAGGCCAGCTCTCTGCTGTGGCCAGGGAGTGCAGTGGAGGATGGCCCAAGTGCTTGGGCTCTGCACCCCATGGGAGACCAGGATAAGTACCTGGCTCCTGCCATGGAATCAGCGCGGTGTGCCGGCCGCAGAGCACCAGCTGCGGTGGCCATTGGAGGGTGAACCAACGGCAAAGGAAGACCTTTCTCTCTGTCTCTCTCTCTCATTGTCCACTCTGCCTGTCAAAAAAAAAAAAAAGGAGAGAATCAACATTTTACATGTCACAGAAGCCTTCATAAGGAAGACACAAAGACCCAGAAAAAGTGTCATTCTTATGCTTAGGTATGATAATATGTGGATGGGTGTGCAGACAAAGGATATGGCTTAGTGGTAATAGACTGAGAGGGGAAATCCAGCAAGGCCTGCCTTGCTTTCTTCTCGGCCTCTCAGTACAGCACTTCTTCCTCCCAGGTATGGGACAGGACTCCTTCCCTGGAATGATGGTCTGATGACAAGGATGTATCAGAGAATTTCTTGATGGCCAGTCTGAGGCACAAAGGTGGGAGAGGGTTCGTGTGATAGGTTTAGGATTACAGCTTACTTTAGGAAGAAGGTTCTAGTTTCTTTTCTTTTTTTAAAGATCTGTTTATTTATTTGAAAGAGTCACACACAGAGAGAAGGAGAGGCAGAGAGGGAGAGAGGTCTTCCATCTGCTGGTTTACTCTCCAATTGGCTGCAACTGCCGGAGCTGCACCAGTCTGAAGCCAGGAGTCAGAAGCTTCCTCCACGTCTTCCCACATGGGTGCAGGGGCCCAAGTACTTGAGCTATCTTCTACAGCTTTTTCAGGCCATAGCAGAGAGCTGGATCAGAAGTGGAGCAGCCGGGACTTGAACCAGCTTCCACATGGGATGTCGGCACTGCAGGCGGCCTTTTACCCGCTACACCACAGCACTGGCCCCAGGGTTCTAGTTTCTATAGTCCACATTGGGGAAGAGGAATTCTGGTTTCTGTGACTCACTTTGGGGGAAAATGAAAGTTGGGGACAGGAGGGCAGGAGAAGTTCAGAGAGATCTTGATTCTGAGGCTGCTTCTGAGGGCTCGTAATGTCCTTTAGTTCAAAGCACTCAGCATATCAAAGTGCCATACTTGGGAGTACTGTGTTATGAGCCACAATAATAGCAGCTTTATAAAATGTCTTGATTTGAGATTACAGCATGGGGGCCTGCATTGTACAGCAGGTTAAGCTGCCACCTGCAGTGCTGGCATCCCAAATGAGTCCCTGCTGCTCCACCTTTGACCCAGCTCCCTGCTAATGCACCTGGGAAAGCAGCAGAAGTGCTTGGGCTCCTGTACCCTCATGGGAAACCTGGATGGAGCTGCAGGCTTCTGGCTTCTGCCTGGCCCAGCCCTGGGTGTTGTGGCCGTTTAGGGAATGGCTGGATAGAACAGCTCCCTCCTTGATTCTGTCTCTCCTTCTCTCTGTCTCTATGCTTTTCAAATAAATAAATTTTAAAAATCATAAAAAAGAAAAAGATTACAGCATGAAAAGCCCATTACAACAAACCACATTGAAAATTCTTATTACTGGGGCCAGCACTGTGGCATAGCAGGTAAAGCTGCCACCTCCAGTGCTGGCATCCTATATGGGTACCAGTCCAAGTTCTAGCAGCTCTACTTTTGATCCCACTCTCTGCTATGTCCTGAGAAAGCAGTAGAAGATGGCCCGAATGCTTGGGCCCCTGCATCCATGTTGGAGACCTGGAAGAAGCTCCTGGCTACTGGCTTCAAATCGGCCCAGCTCAGCTATTGCGGCCATTTGGGGAGTGAACCAGTGGATGGAAGACCTCTTTCTCTCTCTCTGCCTCTCTGCAATTCTGCCTTTCAAATAAATAAATCTATTTTTTAAAAAAAGAAAATTCTTATTATTTTACTCAATAAGTACCTGTCAAATAACTGTCAGTTTTGTTTATCCTTGTCGTATTTATAATAATTTATTTTAGTGGCTGTATGTGCTTATTTCATATACATGTATGAATGCATATGGTTGTTAATATGTGTACACATATATGGTTGCTAATATACATGCATATTATATTAGTATAAATATATTGTGGAGGTGGCCAGCTAGCTCAGTTGGTAGAGCGTGGTGTTAATAAATATATTGTGGAAATTATATATATATATTGTGGGTTCAATGACTATTCATGTTTTTAATTCACTAATTTTATTTAAAATTAAAATAGTTGACTTTGCATATTACTTGTAGCAATTCAAACATTCTCTAATCTGTATTTTTAATCTCTTCTAAAGCAAGAGGGAGAACATGGTAGAAAATATAGCCATAGTGACTTAGAGAACATTAATAAAAATTTGGTTGAGCATTCATTGAAGAGAGTCAACAGAGAAGAAAAAGGTAAGTTACTCAAATTCTAATCATTGAGTGGGGAGCTGGGAAGTGTGGAAGGAATGCCAGTTTTCATGTTACTAGGTCTTAGGCATCATAAGCAAGAGACAGGTAAATATTTGCTTGTCTACTAATTTACTTAATATTACGGGAATGTTTTATTTACCAACAAATAAAGGACAGAGGAAGGCATTGAGGTGCCGCAGGTTAAGATGACACCTGGGGAGCCGGCGCCGTGGCTCACTAGATTAATCCTCTGCCTGTGGCGCCGGCATCCCAAATGGACTCCGGGTTCTAGGTTCTAGTCCCGGTTGCTCCTCTTCCAGTCCAGCTCTCTGCTGTGGCCTGGGAAGGCACAGAGGATGGCCAAGTGCTTGGGCCCTGCACCAGCATGGGGGGCCAGGAAGAGGCACCTGGCTCCTGGCTTTGGATCGGCGTAGTTTCAGCTGTTGTGGCCATTTGGGGAGTGAACCAATGGAAGGAAGATCTTTCTCTCTGTCTCTCTCACTGTCTGTAGCTCTACCTGTCAAAAAAAAAAAAAAAAAAAAGACACTTGGGATGCCTGCATCCCATGTTGAGTACTTGGTTTGAGTCCTCCCTCCTCCACTTCCAGGGCAGCTTCCTGCTAATGCACACTGTGGGAGGCAGCAGACGTGGCTCAAGTCCGTGAGTCCCTGCCACCTATGTGGGAGACCCAGATGGAGTTTCCTGGCTCCTGGCTTTGGCTTGGCTCAACCCAGCTGCTGTGGGCATTTGGAGGGTGAACCGGCAGATGGGAGATAGCTCTTCCTCCCTTCCCCCAACCCTGCTCGCTCGCACACTCTGTCATTCTGCAGTCAACAAAAACTTTTTAAAAAGGTATCTACATGTTAAAAAAGAGAATATGATTTCTTGTTAAGAGACATTAGGAAATGTAGCATTTGTTATCTACCATAGAAAGCATAGGCTACTATGGATATGGAAGTCCTCCTGGAGCTTCTTCCTTGTACATTGTATACTTTATAACTACATATATACTATTTTTTAAAAATTCGGTTGCTTTTTTTTTTTTTTTTTTTGACAGGCAGAGTGGACAGTGAGAGAGAGAGACAGAGAAAGGTCTTCCTTTGCCATTGGTTCACCCTCCAATGGCCGCCGTGGCCAGCGCGCTGTGGCCGGTGCACCGCGCTGATCCGATGGCAGGAGCCAGGAGCCAGGTGCTTCTCCTGGTCTCCCATGGGGTGCAGGGCCCAAGCACTTGGGCCATCCTCCACTGCACTCCCCGGTCACAGCAGAGAGCTGGCCTGGAAGAGGGGCAACTGGAACAGAATCCGGCACCCTGACCGGGACTAGAACCCGGTGTGCCGGCACCTCAAGGCAGAGGATTGGCCTAGTGAGCCACGGCGCTGGCCCGGTTGCTTTTTTAAAAAAAAAAAAAAACAATATATTTCACTTTGTGTTTCTATGGGGGTGCAAACTGTTGAAATCTTTACTTAACGTATACTAAACTGATCCTCTGTAAAAAAAAAAAAAAAAAAAAAAAAAAAGAAAGAAAGAAATTATCAACTCCCAACTTGACTCTCACTGGGGTTAAACATGACAATAGGTCTGATCTGATTTCATCATCATTTAAAAAAAATCATCTATTATTTTTCACTTTATGTTTCTGTGTGGGAGCAAACTGTTGAAATCCTTACTTAATGTATACTAAGCTGATCTTCTGTATATTAAGATAATCGAAAATGAATCTTGATGTGAATGGAAGGGGAGAGGGAGTGGGAAAGGGGAGGGTAGTGGGTGGGAGGGACGGTATGTGGGGGAAGCCATTGTAATCCATAAATCGTACTTTGGAAATTTATATTCAATAAAAGTTAAAAAAAAAAAGATTTATTTATTTAGGACGGGCATTGTGGCATAGCTTGTAAAAGCCAACACCTGTAGCTTTACATACGGGCACTGGTTTGAGTCATGGCTGCTCCACTTCCCATCCAGTTCCCTGCTAATGTGCCTGGGAAAGCAGCGGAAAATGGCTCAAGTACCTGGGCTCCTGCACCCATGTTGGAGGACCAGAAACTCCTGGTTCCTGGCTTCGGCCTGGCCCAGCCCTGGCCTTTAAGGCCATTTGGGGAGTGAACCAGTGGATGGAAGATCTTTTTCTTCCTCTCTGGCTTGGTCCTGCAAAGCCACACCATCGGGGAAGAGCAGGGCAGAGGTGTCCTTTCCCATAAAGAAACACTGGGGACAGGCTTCCATGAACATGTCCCTTTATTAACAGCCACGTAGGCTTTTTAAAGAGCAGGGAGAAGGGGTGTAACTAACTCAAGGGAACACTGACTACAGGACAGAACTGATCTGGTGTAAATATGCCTCTCCAGTCAGCTTGAAGGTCACGTAGCTTTCCAGGTGGGCCTAATGGGCCTTGGCCACACCTGGGAGCAGTTCACCTTATTGGCAGAAGGTGGGAGTGGGGAGAAATGTGCTTGGGCTCAGGCTAACTGCTGGGATTGCCCACATCCCTCTCTGTCTCTTATTCTCTCTGTATAACTCTGACTTTCAAATAAATAAATATTTTTTAAAAAATGTATTTATTTTGAAAGAGTTACAGAGAAAGAGGGAGAGAAGCAGAGAGAGACTGAGAGATAGAGATCTTCCATTTGCTGGTTCACTCCCCAAATGGCTGTAACAGCCAGGACTGGGCCAGGCTGAAGCCAAGAGCCAGGAGTTTCATCCGGATCTCCCACATGGGTGCAGAGGCCCAGCTACTTGGACCATTCTCCAGTACTACCCCAGGCACGTTATGAGGCAGGTGAACGGAAAGTAGCGCAGCCATGACTTGAACCTGTGCCCATAGGGGATTGCATAGGGGATGCTGGCATAGCAGGCAGTGGCTTTACCTGCTATACCAGAACACCAGCCCTCAAAATTCAGTCACTTTAATGATTTATTTTACCTTTTTTGTTTGTTTCCTTTGCTACTTGGATTTGAAGGAACATTGTTGCTAAATCTGAGTTTGAAAGAGAAAATAAATACCTCTGAATCCTTAGGGTACTTTTGTAGCTATAGAGGAATAAATAAGATGACATGCTTGGCATTCCTCTTTACATTTCAGAATCAGACAGTAAGTCAGTGCATCTGAGGCAAGCCGGCTCACCAGGCCCTCACAGGCGGCAGTGGGAGAAAAATGTACCTGGTACAGCTTTGACAGCTTTGGAAAACGCGTCCATCCTCACTTCCAGTGTAACAGCAGAGGATGACAAAGGTTAGTACAGTCAGCCCATAGTGTCCCAGGGGGGTTGGTTCCAGGACCCTCTGAAGATAACAAAATCTGAAGATGGCTCAAGTCCCTTATATCAAATTTAAAGTATCCTCCTATGTACTTTAAAAAATCCCTAGATTACTTAGTAATACAGTGCAAGTGACATAAATAGTTCTTATACTGGGTTATTTAGGGAATAAATGACAAGGGAAAAAGTGTATACGTTCAGTACAGACACAGTTTTTTAAAAACAGTATTTCTGATAGGTGGTGGAGCACACGGTGCGGAGGGCTGACTGTGTCAGATCAAATGCAGTTATTATAGGACATTTGCTCATGGATATGATGTGCTGGGATTTCTTTCTCTCTTTAATGTCACTCTGTGCAAGATACCAGGTGTCACACATCAGAGCACTACTCATACAAAAAGTGAAAAACATTGTAGTTGAGAATCAAATATAACTAACTTTGCCTGAAATGTGATCTGGGAGACAGATGCCAAACATCTTTTTTTTGTTTGGTGCTAATTTTTATCTTTCATTCTAGGTGGTTCTGTAATCAAATACAGTGAAAATAACACCCGCAAGCAGTGGCTCAAAGAGACCCCTGACACCTTGTTGAACATCCTTCAGAATGCTGATCTCAGCCTGGCATTTCAGACCTACACAATTTATAGACCAGGTAATTTATGCCTGTAACTGTGGAAACTCTTCAATTTTTAAAAAAGTATGAGATATATGTATAACATAGAATACACCACCTTGACCATTTTAATGCCATTCAGCCAGGTACAGAGTGTTCCCTTTGTACTGGCATTGCCACTATCCCACCACCGAGCTTTTCTCACCTTCCAACACTGAGACTCTAGACCCATTGGATAGTAATTCCCCATTCTCCCCTCCTAGAAACCCTGCAGCTGTAAAATTGTGAAGTACGTCTTAGCATTGTATTTTTAGAGGTTCCTGAAATCTGTTCTAGCCCATCTTAAGCTGCAATTAAAATTTCCCATGTGGCTACTTTACTCACATTGTTTAAAAAAAAAGATTGACTTATTTATTTGAAAGGCAGTGAGAGAGAGAGAGAGAGACAGATCTTCCACCGCTGGATCACTCCCCAGATGGCTACAACAGACTGGGCTGAGCCAGGCCAAAGCTGGGAGCTAAGAACTCTGTCCTGCTCTCTGACATGGGTGGCAGTGGGCCAAGCACTTGGGCCATCATCCACTGCTTTCCCAAGCTTGTTGACGGGAGCTAGATTGGAAGCTGAGCAGCCCGTTCTTGAGCCAGCACTTCAATATGGGATGCTGGCATCTCAAGTAGTAGCTTAGCCAACCCACTGTGCCACAGTGCATTCCCTAGAGCTTCATTGAGCTACTTGCCCATTTGTTTGCTTATTTTAATAATCATGCTATTACTTTTTTTAATAGTAGCCCATTTTTTTATTTTTTTATTTTTATTTTTATTTTTATTTTTTTGACAGGCAGAGTGGACAGTGAGAGAGAGAGACAGAGAGAAAGGTCTTCCTTTGCCGTTGGTTCACCCTCCAATGGCCACCGCGGCCGGCGCGCTGCGGCCGGCGCACCGCGCTGATCCGATGGCAGGAGCCAGGAGCCAGGTGCTTTTCCTGGTCTCCCATGCGGGTGCAGGGCCCAAGCACCTGGGCCATCCTCCACTGCACTCCCTGGCCACAGCAGAGGGCTGGCCTGGAAGAGGGGCAACCGGGACAGAATCCGGCGCCCCGACCGGGACTAGAACCCGGTGTGCCGGCGCCGCTAGGCGGAGGATTAGCCTAGTGAGCCGCGGCGCCGGCCTATAGTAGCCCATTTTTACCATGCAAGTGTTGGACATTACTTTTGTGACAGCCCCAAGATTTCTTTTGCTGTGTCCTTGAATTCAGTTATATTGAATAGAACTTAAAAGGGATGATCAAGCAGGATTTGATTTTTAAAAACTTTTTTTTTTTTGACAGGCAGAGTTAGACAGTGACAGAGAGAGAGACAGAGAGTTATAGACAGTGAGAGAGAGACAGAGAGAAAGCTCTTCTTTCCGTTGGTTCTCCCCTAATGGCTGCTACAGCTGGCGCTGCGCCGATCCAGAGCCAGGAGCCGGGTGCTTCCTCCTGGTCTTCCATGCTGGTGCAGGGACCCAAGCACTTGGGCCATCCTCCACTGCCCTCCCGGGCCACAGCAGAGAGCTGGACTGGAAGAGGAGCAACTGGGACTAGAACCAGCACCCCAACTGGGACTAGAATCTGGGGTGCTGGTGCCACAGGCAGAGGATTAGCTAAGTAAGCCACGGTGCAGGCCTAAAATTTTTCTATAGACAGTTTGAGTAAACGTGTACAAAAAAACCTTTTATACTTCTAACCTTAGGGATCCAGGCCAAAAGCTTCCATGAAGGGTGTGTGCATGTGTATAATTCAATTCCTGAGCTACCTTGCTAGGTTAAAATCTGAGACAAATTATACCAAGAGCCTATACGGTATAAAGTCTGAACTTTATTGTAGCAGATTGAGGTCTGTTTGGGCAATATTTATTTATTTACTAACAGGTTAAGATTTAAAATAAACCAGTAAAACACTGTTTCTGCTTTGAAGACTGAAGGAATTTATTGCCTGGGAAACCAGCACTGTACCGTGTGCACATTCCAATAGGGCTAAACATGGACTATGGGAGCCTGAGGAGGGCCAATACCTGGGAGAAAGGTCTCAGGAAGATTAATGGCTGCAATTTTGATTTAGAAATTACAGTCCTGGATTTTGTATCTGCTCAAATGATGAAGTCTTTGTCATTATAAGAAAGTCATCATTTAGAAAATGTGTTGTAGCTCTATTTTGAAATGGTTTTTATAAAGATTTAATTCACATTTTTATGTTAGTTTTTTTTTTTAAGCAAAAACTCAAAAGTAATCACTCTCTGGAAATTTTTTTAAAAAATTATGTATTTTTGTTTGATTTGAAAAAGAGAGAGAGACAGATAAACAGGAAAGATCTTCCATCTGTGGGTTCACTCTTCAAATGCCCACCATAGTTGGAGCAAGGCCAGTCTGAAGCCAGGAACCAAGAACTCAGTCTGGGTTTCCCACATGGGAGGCAGGGACCCTCAGACTTGGGTCATCACCTTCTGCCTCCAGGGTGTACACTAGCAGAAGGCTGAATCAGAAGCAGAGGAGCCAAGACTCAAACCAACACTCTGATATGGAATGTGGGCATCCCAAGCGGGATCTTAACCACTGCACCAAACACCCACCCCTTAGAAACTTAAAAAGTATGTGTGGGACCAGCATTGTGGCACAGCAGGTGAAGCAACTGCCTACAATGCCAGCGTCTCATATGAGCACAGGTTTGAGTCCCAGCTGCTCCACTTCTGATCTGGCTCCCTGCCTGGCAAAGCAACAGCAAGTGGCTCAAGTACTTGGCCCCCTGCCAGCCACATGGGAGACAAGTATGGAGTTCCTGGTTCCTGGCTTTGGTCTGGCACAGCCCCTACCATTGAGGCCATTTGTGGAGTAAAACAGTGGATGGAAGATCTCTTTCCTCTGTCTTTCTCTTTCAGTAATTCTGCCTTTCCAATAAATAAATAAATCTTACAAAACGAACAAGCATGCGTGAGGACCGAGTGTGTGGTGTGGTGGTTGTGATGCTGTCATCCCATATCAGAGTACTGGTTTGAGTCCTGGCTCCTCTGCTTCCAGTCCAGCTTCCTGCTGATGCACCTGGGAAGGCAGCAGAGGATGACTCAAGTACCTGGGCCCCTGTCACCCACATCGGAGACCCAGATGGAGTTTCAGACTCCTGGCTTTGGCCTGACCCTGCCTCCCTGTTGTGGCCATTTAGGGAGCATACCAGCAGATGAAAAATCTTTCTCTTTCCTTCTCCCTCTCTCCCTTTCTCTATCTTGCTCTGCTTTTCAGATAAACAATAAATAAGCTTTTTTTTTTAAAGCATGGGAGTGTCCTTCAGTTCACTACATTTTCCCCTGTTCAATGAGAAGACTTAGGAAGAAAAGGCTCAAAGGAAAAAGAATTCACTGTTATCCAACTTCCAAAGAAAGTTTAATGCTTTAATATAGATTTAATGCTTTAATATAGATTAATTTTAATGATTTAATATGGACTATTCTATTTCCAAGTTTTTATTTTGAGTTATTTTCCTCTTAAAGTATTGGTTTTTAAAAAATATTTCTTTTTAATTTTTTTTAATTTTATTTAAGGAATACAAACTTCATGCATTTAATATGTACAAATTTGGGAACATGATGATTTTCCCCCCATCTCCTCCTGCCCATTCTCCCACTCTTCTTCCTCCTCACTCTCCCTTTCCCATTCTTTTCTTTTTTTTTTTTTCTTTTTACAAAGGTCAGTTTTCAGTTACTTTTTTATTCGTAAGATTAACCCTACATTAAGTAGAGAGTTCCCTGAATAGTATGAACAAAAAAGAACAGAAACAAACAAGAATAACATTGTTCCTTGACAGTCAAGAGCTGTTAAAAATCATCGCATCTCAAGGTGTCAGTTTCACTCCTATAGATTACCTTTTAAGTACTCCATTAGTTACCACAGATCAGAGAGACCATATGGTATTTGTCTTTTTGTGACTGGCTTATTTCACTATGTATAATGCTTTCCAGTTGCATCCATTTTGTTGCAAATGTATTTTTAAAAAAAAATTATTTATTTAAGAGGTAGAGTTATAGACAGAGAGAGGGAAAGACAGAGAGAGATCTTCCATCCGCTGGTTCACTCCCCAGATGGTTGCAATGGACAGAACTAGGCTGATCCAAAGCCAGGAACTAGGAGCTTCTTCCAAGTTTCCCACACAGGTGCAGGGGCCCAAGCACTTGGGCCATCTTCCACTGCCTTCCCAGGCCATCAGCAGAGAGCTAGATTGGAAAAGGAGCAGGACATGGAGCCATTGCCCATATAGGATGCCAGTGCAGAAGGTGGAGGCTTAACCTACTACGTCACAGCACCAGAAATATTTATTTTGATCTGCTTGAAAAGCAGAAAGAGAGAGAGAGAGTGAGATCAATCTTCCATCTGCTTGTTCATCCCCCAAACACCCACAACAGCCAGGTCTGGCCCAGGCCAAAACCAGGAGCCTGGAGTTTCATTCAGGTCTCCCATGTGGGAGACAAGGTGCCAGTACGGAACCATCATCTGTTGCCTCTCAGGTTGTGTATTAGTAGGAAGGTGGATCAGAAATGGAACCACTGAGAATTGAACAGGCCCTCCAGTGTGGGGAAGGGGGTCCCAAGTGGCAGTTTAACCTGCTGCACCACAATGCTTGCCACAATAGTTCTTTTATGTAGTCCATGCACTGATGCTTCGAACCTGTTATATGCCAAAAAGCATGCTGGGTAAATGCTATTTAAATTGCTGTTTAAATTGGTATTTTTTTCTGTGATTTCCCTGAAGATTCAGAAGGGTTCTTGAAAGGCCCCCTGTCTAAAGAAACAGAAGCAGCAGACAGTGTGGACGGAGGTCATGATTGTGTCATTTTGGATCCTGAGAGACTGGAACCTGGGCTGGACGAGGAGGACACGTACGTTGTGATATTCCTAGAAAGCTTTAGAAGGGTGTGGGTGTGCAACTTAATGAGACCCTAATTTCAGGCTTCATGGGGCCTGTTATTTTACTGTTCTTCATGAGTGAATATTTCTATCTTGCCTTTTGTCTGGGAAGGGTAGTGAATTTCGATATAATTGTAGAAATCCTGGCTGAGCCTTTCCCATATACTATTTCAGCTCGGACTTACTATTTTTAAATATGCTATAAAAAATGTCCTTTAGGAAGGACGGATTTTCTCTGTGTTCAGTTGTCTTATGGAACCAATTTTTCAAACACGTAAATATTGTCATGGCAGCATTCTGCTTGAACTCCATCCACAAATGGGCTTATCATACAAACTGTTTTCCTGCAGGGACTTTGAGGAAGATGGTGACAATGCCGACTGGGTGTCAGAACTGAAGAAGTGGCTGGATGGCCGGGGGTGTCTGATGGACCAGGCCGGAGGGGATGCTCCCAAGTCACACGGAGGAGACGCTGCAAATGAGGAATTCTTACTAGAGTAATAATTAGTTTGTAGCGTGTAATAATAATTGGTACTTAGGACATATATTTGAAGGCAGAATGAAGGGAGAAACTGTTAATATTTAAAATAATTCCTAATATCACAGAATTAAAAATAATCTAGAACTTCTATTAATCTTTGAACTCGGAGGAGAAGGTACAGCAGAATGGGTAGGAGCCTGGTGCTTTGATGTCTAGTAGAACAGAAATCGGATGCCAGCTGCACCATTCACTAGTTGTGCAATTTGGGAAATTACTTAACCTCTTTGTACCCCGATTTCATCAACTATAAAATGAGGATAATAAAGCCTACCTCATATGGGTGCCGACCTATAGATCATACAGCAGCATTTGTATTATTATTCATGGTGTTATGGTCTGTCTGTGTTGTTGACTATGTAACTCTTCCTGTATTTCCTAAAGGTTTGAGGATCTAAATACATTTAATTATAATAATGTGTGCATTTTTTAAAAAAGATTTATTTATGTATTTGAAAGGCAGAGTTGCAGAGAGAGAGGGATATGTCGACAGTGAGCTCTTCCATCTGGTGGTTCACTCCCCGGGGCTGGGCCAGGCCAAAGCCAGGAGCCCCAAGCTTCTTCCAGGTCTCCTATGTGGGAACAGGGGCCAAGCACTTGGGCCAAATTCTACTGCTTTTCCAGGCACATTAGCAGGGAGCTGGAGCAGAAGTGGAGCAGCCAGGACTCAAATCAGTACCCCTATGCAATGCTGGCATCACAGGCAGCGTCTTGACCCACTAGGCCACAATGCTTCCCCCTTCCCCCATTTTTTCATTAAGACCAGGTTCTGGGTCGGTTGAAGTTCATTTTTAGTCATTTTCAGCACTACTGGCCATCCTTAAATACAGCCCTTCATAGGAAGCAGCGCAGAGCCCAAGTCAGAGTGTTGGCTATGGGAAGAGTGAAGTGAGCCCCAGATCTTTCAGAAGAGAGCAGTCAGGTATATGAGATGGGAATAAGGTCAAAGGCGATGGGTGGAGATGGCAAGTACTGGAAGCTAGAGAGTGTGGGGGCTCAAATGGTGAGAGAGGGGTGTCCCAACATGGGTATGTCCCCAAGACACACCTGTGCTAGGTCTTGTCATGTGTTACCTCATCTCATACTCGTACTGAGGGAATATTTTACGAGAGAAGAAACAGGCCTCTCCCGGTGGGTCTCACAGGGCAGTGGTGGGACTGGCATCAGCCTGCGCCGACACAGGGAGCAATGTTGAAGGGAAGAATGAGGGAAAACACAGTGGGATCATTAACAAGGATCTGCTGACACCGGATATAGACACATCTTGTAAATAGTAACACTTTTAAAAAATCTTAACATAGAAAATAAGTATTTCTACTTACTTCGATCAATTGTATACTAGTAATTTAATCATTCAACCCAGGAAAACATAATTATTCTGCCATGACCAAGAATTATGTTAATTCCACTTACATTCTTTCAGAGTAATGTGATAGGACAATTAATAAGACTTAAAGCGTAAAGATTACTTTGAGATAAAGTTCTAGGAAAGTGGTACAGAGCTTTGATTTTTTAAGGAGAAAAAGTGAGAATGTCAACTTTTTGATTCTTGGGGTTTTTGGTGGTGGATGGTGGGATCGAGTAGCCTGGGTATTGGAGTCTACTGGATATGCTTTCGTTTTGTCAATAGTTACAATTGCTGAAAATCACATGCTCCCAGCTGAAACACAACAAAACTTGATGCGCAAATAGGGGATGCGTTTGCGGAGGCCCCTGTTGGAGGCGCCTGGCCGCAGGGTCCGAGGCCTTGGCTCCCTGTGGCTGGTTTCCCAACGGGCGCCCTCTGCCTTGCAGGGGTGCAGCACAGCTAACGCTTGCCAAGTCCGCTGCGCCCTGAAGGGGAGCTGGGGCGCGTTCTCGCAGACTGCTCTGCGGAGAGGTCCCGACCGAAGGCCACGCGAGTCGGGGGATTCGGTCGGAGGTCCAAGTTTGCCGGCCTCTGACCCGTTTTCAGGGCGGGGCGTGGACCGGTGCTCACCGCCCACACCCGCGGCCCGCCCGTTCCTCCTGCGGCTCCACCCCAGCACGCAGGGAGGCGCGGCAGCCGGGGATCCCGGATCCTCCCGGAGGTCTCGCTGGCCCCACGAAGCCGGCGAAGCAGGTATGCTGCGGGCGGGCGGCCCTTAGTCCTTACCCGGAACTGACCGGGGTTCTGAGGAAAGGAACGGAGTCCCGGGAGGAAAGACTGGGAGCGCGGAGGAGCAGCCGGCGTCCCGGGCTGCCTCGGTCTCCATGGCAACGCACGGCGCGCTGGGCTCCGGGGCCCGCGCACGAACTGGGCCGCGCACCCCGGGACGACTCCGGGCCGGCCCTAAAAGAAAAAGGATTTTCCTTAAGTCCGGGCGTTTGAATCACGGGCGGTCAGCCCCCAGCTGGTCACAGAGAGGCCCGATGCCGCCCTCGGAACCAGGTCCTGAGGTGGTCGCAGCCTCCCCAGGCCACCCAGTCGTCCCTCCTTCCTGTGCAGTCATGAAGTTATTGGGAAACGACCTGCCGGCTCACCAGTTTTTATAAAAACCTGCACGCTGCACTCGCCGTACATAGCCTACAGGGATATAGAAGGAAAGCAACTGGTTACGAAAAAGCGTTTCAGTCTGTAAATGCTTAGCCCCGCCACCGTGGAGGAAGCGCGAAGCAGCTCGGTGGCCGCGCCTGGGCAGCCACCCATCGTGACGGAAAACCCCAAGTGCGGTCGAGCCTTGATTTACGTGCAGTTGCATTCCTAGAAAAATCCAGTGTTAGAATCCTGGGAAAAGTGCTTTGGGTTCGTTTGGTGCTGTAGTTCGATTCCAGCCGCAGGTCATTGTAAGCGGGTTTCCCCACGCACGTGAGTGTAGGGCTGCGGGATAACCCTTTATTGTGCGGGCCTGTCCTTTGCCTGGCAGAATTTTAGCATCCGCGGCCCTAACCCCTTCTAAATATGTCTGAGTCTGTGAGAACAGAGACCCATAAATATCCCAAATGCCCCCTAGGGGGCAGTACATCCCCACTGAGAAAGACTGGGCCCTAAGCCCACAGGAGCGTTATGTTCTGGCTTTACACGCCAGTACCTGGCACCTCCAGTCTCTCTCATTTGCAGAACAAACACGCTCACAGGTCCTGCTATTTCCGTCTCTGAAATCGGGAGAGTGAGGCTTTGGGAGGTTAAGAGTCTCGCCCCAGATCACAACGCCGAAGTCTCTGAGCTGAACCACAGCGCCTGAGCCTGCCCTTAGAGCCCGCCGGCCGAGCGTTCGCTCACTTTGATGGCTGACCCGCGGCTCTGTCCTGGCGAGGGTGGCAGGAAACTTTCAGCACAGTGCTGAAAGTGCTTTTTGCATGTTGGTCGTCAATTTTCTGACTTTGTCAGCCATTAGGAGAAGCCTGCGATGAAATTCCATTGCTCTGATTGCAGGAACCTCCGTGCACGGGCCACCATGGACAAATACGATGTGATTAAGGCCATCGGGGAAGGTGCCTTTGGGAAAGCATACTTGGCTAAAGGGAAATCAGACAGCAAACCATGTGTCATAAAGGAGATCAATTTTGGAAAGGTAAAGAAGTGCAAATGCCTATGACTTTTCAGCAGGCTTTTAATTGAATATGAAAAGGAAACTTTGTTTTACAATTATAAATCTTGACATTATATTAAATTATGAATCTTAAATTTAAATTAAATTATCAATTTTAACCTCAGTTGATTCGTATTCACTCACCTCATAAGTCCAATGTCTGTGCAAAGACCAATGATCTTATTTAAAAAGAAAAAGAAAAAAAAAAGATGGGTATTTGGTGGGGCAGTTAAGTGGTCACTTGGGGCGCCCCACATCCCATATTGGAGGGCCTGGGTTCAAGTCCTGGCTCTGCTCCCTATTTCAGCTTCCTGCTAATGAGCATTCTGGATGCCTCAAGTACTTGGGGTCCCTGCCACCTAATGGGGGTCCCTGATAGGATTCTTAGCTCCTGGCTTCAGCCTGTAGCTCTGGATGCTGAGGGCATTTGGGGGGTGAACCAGTGACTAGACAGTCCCTCTGTCTCTGCCTTTCAAATAAACAAATAAGTAAATCTTCTAACAAACAAAGCAAACATGTTCTTGAAAGTAAGTTCTTTACGGGACTTTTCTGTGTTGGAATGTCATTTAGATGCCCATCCAAGAAAAGGAAGCTTCCAAGAAAGAAGTCATTCTTCTGGCCAAGATGAAGCATCCCAACATCGTAACCTTCTTCGGTTCATTTCAAGGTTTGATTTTCCGATATTCTTCAAGTACTCTAACAAAGTGTAGACATGTTGACTTACGTGAAAGATATGTTCCTGAGCAGTAGATGCAAATGAACTTTTATAAATGAATCGCTTTCTCATTTACTGAAATTATAATTTGAGGCATCATGTCTATTTCCTCTCTGATGAGTTTTCATACCTTGCTGGTGTTTTAAGTTTTTCCACCTCCCCTGAATTCTTATTCCTATAAATATTTAGTGATTGATGTTTAGTTTTGCTACAGTAACAACCTTTGCATCTCAATGGCCTATAATGCATCTACAGGAAAGCTTCAAAAATCTCATAGAAAAATGTAATTAAAAATAAGTTTATCTTGCTGCAAAAAAATCTTTGAAAGTTTTATTATAATACACATTTCCATGGACTTTTTGAAGACTTCATATTTTTCACATCACATATTGGCTGTGGGTGGGCTGGGGGTCTTAAGTCTGAAGGAGCCTCCCAGGCAGGGTTTTCGGAAAAGATGGGGACATGGATCACCACACCAGCCCTCTCAGTACTGCTGAGGCATGTGTGAATGCACGCATTCATGTGTGTGTGAGGGTGTATGTGTGAAGGTTGTGTGTGGGGTGTGTGTGTGTGTGTGAGGGTATATGGATGTTTGAGGGGGTAATTTGTGTGTGGGGGTGTATGGATGTGTCTGGGGAATAATGTGTGTGTGTATATGTGTGTGTGAGTGGGATACATGGGTATGTGAGGGGGGTAATATGTGTGTGTGTGAGGGGGGAGCATATGGATGTGTGTGTGTGTGAAGGTTGTGTGTGGGGTATATGTGTGTATGAGGGTATATGGATGTTTGGGGGTAATTTGTGGGGGGGGGCGTATGGATGTGGGGGGGGTTATGTGTGTGTGAGTGGGATATACGGGTATGTGAGGGGAGTAATATGTGGGTGTGGGGGGACATATGGATGTGTGTGGGGGTAATGTGTGTGTGTGTGAGGGGGGATATGGGTATGTGAGGAGGGGTAATATGTGTGTGTGAGGGGGGTGTATGGATGTGTGTATGGGGTAATGTGTGTGTGTATGTGCGAGGGGGGTGTATGGGTATGTGAGGTATACTCTGCCTACATGAGGACCTGTATGTCCCATGGCAACAGCTAGGACTCTGCCATCCTCTTACAGAGAGCCTGCAAGTAGCCACTCATCATCACCAAGCAAACTGCAAAACTATAGTGGGAGAACCTTTGGGAAGGAAGTCCCTTTGTCTGCACCCCTGAATACAACTCTTCTGCCTCCATCCATCACTCTATTCCAAAGGTTTAGAAAAAGGGTGTTTGGCACAGCAGTTAAGTCACCACTTGGAATTCCCATAATCCATATTGGAGTGTTCCTTTTCCCATCCAGCTCCCTGCTAATGCTCCTGGAAAAGCAGCAGAGGATGGCCCAAGCCGTTGCAAGGGCAATCTGTGTGGGAGACCAAGATGGAGTTCTGGGCTCTTGGCTTCAGCCTGGCCCAAACCTTACTATTGTACACATTTGGGGATTAAACCAGGGAATAGACAATCTCTTTCTTTTTCCCTTTCAAAAAAAATAAATTTTAAAAATGATTTAAAAAAAATGAAAGAACATTGGTGAGAGGCCATTCATTCACTCAGCAGGTGTTTATTGAGTGCTCACTGTGTGCTAGGCATTGTTCCAGCTTCCAAGAATATAGCTGTGAACAAAACCAACAAAAATCCCTTTTCTCATGAAGATTACGTTTTAGAGGGAAGAGACAGACAATAAACATAGAGTAGGTCAGGTGTTTATAAGACTGTGACAGGGCCTTATTTGCCACCAGTACAATGGGACATCCCCCATTCCTCACCTTAATGGAGCAGGAGTGTTAACCTAGGTATTTCAAACATCATCAGGTGAGTACAATCAGTAAATAAACAAACACAGCTGCTGTTTCTTGGACCTTTTGTGCTCTGCTGGGCATTGTCTCTCTTTTTTTCTTTCTTCCTTTCTTTCCTTTCTTAAGATTTATTTCAATTTATATGAAAGGCAGAGTTGCAGAGAGAGAAAGGGAGAGACAGAAGGAGGGATCCTCCATCTCCTAGTTCACACCCCGAATGGCCACATGGCCAGGGGCTAAGCCAGGGGCTTCTTCGGGGTTTCCCATGAGGGTGCAGGGGCCCAAGCACTTCGGCCATCCTATGCTGCTTTCCCAGGCACATTAACAGGGAGCTGCATCAGAAGCAGCTGAGACACGAACCGTCACCCATATGGGAGGCCAGCACTGCAGGTGGCAGCTTAATCCACTGTGCTATAGTGCCCCAACATTGCATTTCTTACTGATTAAAACCATTCCATTCAAAGTAGTTTCATGTATACAGCCACTCTTTTTTTTAAGTTTTGTTTCCCAAAGAAATCTTTTATTTAATGAGTACAAATTTTGAAAATACAACTTAGGAGGAATATAGTGATTCTTCCTACCATAGCTGCCCTCCCACCCACATTCCTCTTCCTTCTCCTATTCCCAGTCCCATCCTCCATTAAGATTCATTTTCTTTTTTCAAAGATTTTATTTATTTATTTTAGAGGTAAAGTTACAGACAGTGAGAGGGAGAGACAGAGAGAAAGGTCTTCCATCCACTGATTCACTCCCCAAATGGCCTCAATGGCCAGTGCTGTGCCAATCCAAAGCTGGGAGCCAGGAGTTTCTTCCCCATCTCCCACATGGGTGCAGTTGACCAAGCACTCGGGCCATCATCCATTGCTTTCCCAGGCCACAGCAGAGAGCTGGATCAGAAGCAGAGCAGCCAAGACCATAACTGGCACCCATTTGGGATGCCGGTGCATCAGGCGGAAGATTAACCTACTGAGCCAGAGCGCCCGGCCCCACAAAGATTCATTTTCAATTAACTTTATACACAGAAGACCAACTCTATACTAAGTAAAGATTTCAACAGTTTGCACACACACACACACAAAAACTGTTTGAGAACAGGTTTTACACTTAATTCTCATAATACAACTCATTGGGGACAGAAGTCCTGCATGGGGAGTTAGTGCATAGTGACTCCTGTTGTTAATTTAACAATTAACACTCATGTATGACATCAGTGATCACCTGAGAGTCTTGACATGAGCTGCCAAAGCTATGGAAGCCTTTTGTGACCACAGACTCTGTTGTATTTAGATAAGGCCATAAGCAAAGTGGAGGTTCTCTTCTCCCTTCAGAGAAAAGTACATCCTTCTTTGATGGCTACTTCTTTCCACTGGGATCTCTCTCACAGAGATCCTTCATATAGGACATTTTTTTTTTTGCCATGATATCTTGGCTTTCCATGCCTGAAATTCTCTCATGGGTTTTTCAGCCAGACCAGAATGCCTTAAGGGCTGATTCTGAGGTCAGAGTGCTGTTTAAAGCGATTGTCATTCTATGAGTCTACTGTATTACAGCCATTCTTTAAATACTGAGAATTTTAAAAGAGCTTTTGGAATCCTTGAGATGTCTTCTTAGGAACAGAGCAATGCACGTGGCCAGCTAATGGAATTGTATTGAACAACTTCTAAGGGGAGCCCCTAAATGAAGTGACCTCATTCCTGTCTATTGATATCCAGCTATGCCATAAATGAGTGTGAGTGGGAGAGCAGATAGGGTGGGAAGAATCACTATGTTCCTAAATGTGTATTTATGAAATGCATGAAGTATATATACCTTAAATAAAAGGTTTCTGGGGCAAAAAATGCTAGACCCTCATTTGCTGGGATGCTGTTGTGACTGTGTACGGCTAACTCCTACTCTTGCTCCCCCTCAATCTAACCCCTTTGCTGATCTTTGCAATTTTTGTATTTGGGTCTATATATCCTGCATGTCTACAAGTATGCATATGTTTCAGGAAAAACCCTGTGATGAGAACCAGCTGCCACAGGGAAAAGGGGCTGAAAGACCAAAGAAGAAAAATCCAAGATTAGATAGAAAGTGATTTATTGAGAGGACAGAGTGTAGGCTGTGGTGGTGTCCATGACACAATGGATCCACACAACCTCAGTCAATGGGAAGGGGGTCCCCAGCTAACCTAACAGCACCTGGACCATCTCAAGCAACATTACTGTTCCAAGGATTAGACAGGGGACATTCCACCTGCAGGTCTAGCAGATCTTAATGACTTCCTTTATCTCACAAGTTTTGGAATGACCCTCAGGGCTACCGCAAGGGGAAGATGACAGATGTGTCCAAAATGGCTTTGGTCACATCATACTGAATCCCTACATCATAATTATGAATTTGTACATTTTTTACTCCTCTTTAGGAGTCACTGGGTCTGGCCCTGCCATGGCAGCCACAGATGGGACTCCAAAATTCAATAACTCCTTAGCAGGCTAATTTTAACTTGGTAATTTGTATGGCCTACGCATGATGTTATAAATATCCAAATGACCTTTGGTGAAAGGAATCTCCCTTTTGCTCGGTTCTTTTTTTTTTTTTTTTTTTTTGAAGATTTTATTTGTCTATTTGAGAGGTAGAGTTACAGACAGTGAGAGAGAGAGACAGAAAGGAATACCTTCCGTTGGCTCACTCCCCAAATGGCCGCAACAGCCGGAGTTGCACCAGGAGCCAGGTGCTTCTTTTGGGTCTCCCACATGGGTGCAGGGGCTCAAGCACCTGGACCATCCTCTACTGCTTTCCCAGGCCATAGCAGAGAGCCTGATGGGAAGAGCGGCAGCCAGGACTAGAACCAGCACCCATATGGGATGCCGGCCTGCAGGTGGAGGATTAAGCTATTGAGCCACAGCGCCGGCTCCTGCTCAGTTCTTGATCCTTAGCATCTAGCACATAGGAGCTGCTTAATGTATGTTTGCTGAATGAATGAATGGAATGGAGTGGCTTAACAGAGGGTAGTATGTCTTTATATCATGCAAGATCAGCTTTAAAAGACAGTTTATACTGGATACTGTTACAAAACTCAGGTCACTTCTACAGGATGAAAGCCTGTGCTTTGTTTGTTTATATTGTAAGTTTACATTTTCTG